TCGCACGGATTTTGTTCTTGCCATTGAGCTGGCTTCTCAGGACTTGCCTTATTCGTTGGAGGTATTTTGCTGTGGCCCCTTTCCTTGTGGCCTCATCGAGGTTGCCATATAGGTTGCCATATATATATATATATATGCTTTTTTGAAAGGAAATCATCACTCTATTAACCATTTTGTTCATTTGAATTGTTACCAAAGGAGACTAAAGAATTTCTCAAACATGTATGAAAGAATAAAGTAACACTCATATTTTTTATTAGAAAAATAATAACATGATGTAAAGTTAAAAAAAGAAGTTATTTTTACCCTTTAAGAGGTAAATGGGTTTTTGTGGAAAGGATTTGTCATTATCTTACCCTCAGCAGTCAGTTGACGCAGAGCAGACAATGACTGTGCTTCAATCAACATTTTTTTTTATTTGCATTTTGAATCAATGCATTGAAAAGGTTGATCAAAATTATATATATATCTTCCTCAATTTTGTACAAAAGTTTTATGCTCACTTGAGGTGGTTGTTGGCTTTTCCAAAACAGAGTTAAGGTGCCAAAGGGTTGATGGAAACATTTGCAGAATAAGTTGTGACGAAGAAAACTTTACCATCTATTGGTAGGTATTTTGCCTTATAAAAGATATGAAACTTAGAAACTTTAAATGTCCAAGTATTGTAATCCATGACTTTGTAATATTTATATTGAGAGATCATATGAAATTTTTGTCAGGGCTACTATGCAGCTGATTCCCTTGACATCAGAGATCTGTTGTTGCCACTTTAATCCCTATTGATGGACATGATTCTTCAAGCAGTGAATTCAGTCAAAACAGGGTTGATGTGTTAGCATCAAGTGTGATGGGATGGGAGAGCAGGGGAGGAGCGGGACGACCCGCTGCAGAGCATCCTGATGCGGATGGACGACACTGACATGGGAACTGTGGGCTGGTGGGTGGACATTAGGCCTAAAACGATTACACCCTTCTGATGTTGACTCAGAGCTTCTCAGACAGAAATGAACACAGTTTCATAACCATAACAACCCTGAGAACACGACAAGCCCTGAGGAGGAGCGAGAGCTCGAACACGCAGCCAGCGTCAGTCAGCCGCTGGCAGAAGAACTAGAGGATCCATCCTGTAGGCCATGGGTGTCAAACTCCAGTCTTCGAGGGCCACTGTCGTGCAGTTTTTTGATGTGCCACAGGTACAAAACACAAGAATGAAATGGCTTAATTACCTCATCCTTGTTCTCCAGAGCCTTGCTAATGACCTAATTATTCTATTATGTGCCTCTGCTGCATAATTATTCTATATAGCAGAGGCACATCTAAAAGTTGCAGGACACTGGCCCTCGAGGACTGGATGTTGACACCCCTGCTGTAGACTAACTGAGATGGATCTGCTCCATCTCAGTTAGGCGGGGCATTGTGTATGAACATTCATTTCAAATCATGCCACAAACTCTTAATTGGATTTAGGCCATTATAGATGCTTTGATCTAAACCATTGCTTGGTAACTGGTCATGTTTCAGGTCGCTAGCTTTCTTCCATGTTCAGCCTTTGGGATTCAGTTCTGGCCTCATCTAACCAGAGCGGTTGGTGTACTCTACAGAGCTTTTGGCAAACTTTGCAAGATTCTTCTTACTATTTTGGTTTTTCCACAACTCATATTCTCAAAGTATCCTATGACTGAAAGTAGCTTCTGCTGGGGTGCTGTGGTGGTGCGGGGTCCAGGCGTGGCCCACGTGGGGAGGCCTACGTCCTCGGCACCACTGTCACAGGTTCGAGACCCGTTGGGGAGGCCTTTGCTGTATTTTTTTTCCTCTCTCATTGCCCACTTTCCTGTCTGACCGCTTTCAAATGGAGGCCACTTCAGCCAATAAAAACTAAAAAAAACAACAAAAAAAACTCCAGTTTTTAGTGACGTCACTATGTTGCTGTTGGTAAATTGTCCCAGAAATTATTGTTGAAAATCATCATATTGTTAATTTGAGGCCATTTTCAAGTAATAAATTGATAATGGCATAATAAAGTAGGAACACATTCTCAGAGGATGAACATTTAACACAAACAGGAAGAAACTTTGAATATCCAAAATAAATGAGGAAAACAACAGAAACAACAAATTAATAATGAAATATGTAAAGAAAACATGTGTGAATACATTTTTGTCCTTCAAAAAATCCTTATTGAGACTGAAGAACCAGATTGAAGACTTTTGCCATCCAGCTTTTGGTAGAAAGAGAGAAAAGAGAAAAACAATAAATCAAATAAATGAAAATTATTTAGCTTTTTGTAAACTATCAAATGATTCACTGATTTATTGCTGTCAATCCGAATTGACAACAGATCCTATCAATTCACACAAAAAAAAAAAAACTAAACACCTCTACATTTATCAGCACTCCAGAGCTTTTAATAAAGCTCCTGGGCTGCCAAGCAACAGAAAACACCTTCCCAATAACGTCCAGCTGAAATGGGGATCCCACCTCAACACTAAAGGCCGACGCCAAGGCCTGAACCGAACCGGCATTTTACTTGGAATGGCTTACGACTGCTGCTGGGAAGAGGTGAAAAAAAGTGGAGCAGACAGATGAGCACCATGTCGCCTCACAGTTGGAAAGCCTGGCACTGCCTTCTGCCATTTGGATCACCATGGAAACAGCTAAATACACCAGCAGCAGCAGCAGCAGCAGCGCTGGTCCAGCTTTAAGTAAAGGGAACATGTGAAAGGAAAATTCAAAGCAAAAACATCTAATGAAAAATAATTAGATTTAAGGAATAATAATGTTGTTTTACAGATTGCGTCACAGACTTGGCACCGTGATGGAAGTATGGCAGAATGCACACAGTCCCAGAAATGCCCACGTGATGCTCAGTGACATTTTTATTATGGTGGTGGGTGAAGGGGTGTGGGGCGGGTGTTCCTGGAAGGCCCTGCAGCGCAGCGCAAAAACACGCACATGACGACGCATGTTGCACACAGTATCAGCGGGATCACCGAGCACGCGACCACGCACACGTGATTCACCGGCATCAAACGGAAAAAGAACAACAAAGAAAAAGAGGGAAAAAAAACACAGACTCCCAGCCGGCGCCCTCCTCTTATCCTCTTACCTGGACCGTGGGCTTCTCCCGAGCGGACCTCGGTGATGCTGCTCGGGTCACTCTGAGATCTTCCGCGCTGCACCACGCATTCATCATCCAGCCCGTCGGATGGTGATGCTGTTGATGATGAGGATAATGCCATGGTTGGAGAAAGAAGAAGGGGGGAAAAAGCTTGAGCCGTGATCTCCGTCAACAGCCAACCAACCGGCCAAGGTCAGCGGCATCAAGTGGTAGGCGCTGATTTCATGCGCTGATTTCATGCGCTGATTTCATGCGCTGCGCTCCGCTGCTGCAGCTGCGGCTCCCCGGTCAGCAGCAGCCACCAGCGGGAAATCCATTCCGAGCGCAGCGTTATAGAGGGTCGACGGTGCCAAAAAACACGTGATCCCTCCACACCCCCCAAAGAGCCCTGTCAACCTTTTCTCATGATTTTTCTCAACTCACAGTTGAGTTAGATGGAGCGTGAAAGAGGACTGTTTCTTGAAACAGATTTGATAATTAGCAGCAATGATTGTTTGTGTGTGGGTTTTTTTCTCAGTGATTTTACCTTAGAAGAAATAAAATGAGGGCTTTTTTTAAAGGTAGCCTAAGTTTATTTACATAGCTTACATCACAGTACTGCAACAGCGTATTGGGAACATAAAAGGTAGAAAGAAAGAGGAAATTTTCAGAAAAAAAGAAAAAAAATTCTGAAATTTTCCAGAAAAAGCAAGAACATTTCTGAGCAAACGACATTTCTATTGTCCCTTTTATTTTAGATCCTCCAGTTTTAAGCTGGAGGACAGCAGCTGACATCAACAGCAGGTTGATGCTCAGTTTTGATTTTCTTTTTAAATAAATATTTTATGCCATTGTCATTGTGGTGGACATTCTAATGCATCCCACAGGTGTTCTGTTTGGCTGAGGTCAGGATTCTGAACAGGCCAGACACCTTCATCCACACCATACTCTCCAGCCATGTCTTTATGGACCTTGCTTTGTGCTCTGGTGCACAGTCATGTTGGAAGATGAAGGGGTCAGCTCCAAACTGTTCCCGCAAAGTGTGGAGCATGGGATTGTCCAAAATGTCTTGATATGCTGAAGCATTCAAAGTTCCTTCACTGGAACTAAGGAGCCAAGCCCAGCTCCTGAAAAATAACCCTAACCCATTATCCCCCCTCCACCAAACTTTACACTTAGCACAATGCAGTCAGACAAGTACCGTTGTCCTGGCAACCACCAAATCCAGACTCATCCATCAGATTTCCAGATGGAGAACCATGATACGTTGCTCCAGAGAAGGCACCTCTACTGCTATGAAGTCCAATGGCAGCGTGCTTTACACTGCATCCAATGCTTTGCATTGCACTAGGTGCTATACAGCTTGGATGCAACTGGTCACCATGGAAACCCACTCTCTGCACACTGTTACTGAGCTAATCTGAAGCCCACGTGAAGTTTGGAGGTCTGTGGAGATGCAGTCTGCAGAAACTTTGCTCTATGTGCTTCAGTGTCTGCTGACCTCATTCCATCTGTTTACATGGCCTACCACTTCATGGCTGAGTTGCTGTTGTTCCCAAACACTTCCATTTTCTTATAATACAGCTGACAATTGACTGGAATATTTAGGAGCGAGAAAAATTCTCGACTAGATTTGTTGCACAGGTGACATCCAATCCATGCTGGAATTCACTGAGTTCCTGAAAACAACCCAGTCTTTCACAAATGTTTGTAAAAACAGTCAGCATGCCTACGTTCTTCATTTTATACACCCCTGGCCATGGAAGTGATTGGAACACCTGAGACCTAATTAGGATGCCTTTGACAATATAGTGTATATAACTAAGACTTGGATGCATGTTTTCAAAAAGTATTTTTTGAAACATGCAGAATTTCCCTTTGCTTTGCAATCATGCACAGCTTTGTGTTAGATCTCATAAAATTCAACATACGTTGAAGTTCAGGCTGTACTTGAAATGTGAAAACATTGAGGGAGATATACTTTTGAGAAATATAATTACCTGTTTTGTTGTTGTTTTAGTTCAATAGCTATCATATTTCATATTTAATATACAAATATATACGTCAGAAAGCTTGAACAAGAATGAAGGAACTCACTTCACCACTGGGAGGCGATAAAGAGCAATATGGCTGATTGTCACCGAGCCTTAAGCAAAAAAGAGCAAGTGCTGAAGGAAAATGGCAGAAGGGAAAGTAAGCGAGAGTGCTTCCGTCAACCGGTTAATTGATATAATAGAGTCACAGAGTTCAGTAGAGGATGACAGCTCGGAAAGTTCTGGAGCTCGGTACCCGCAGGACCTCCGAAGCGTCCTGGTTACCAGTGTTTTAAACCTGGAGCAGCTGGACATTGACCTCTACAGGTAAGTAGCTCCAGTTCGTCACTTCAACATTTAGAAATTCGTTCACTTGCTTCTAGCTAACGTTGTGTTTTAACTGGGCCTTTTGAAAGGATGAACAGTTTTGCAGCTGTGTTTTTACCGAGGTGTTTAATGCCAAAAACCGTCTCTGTCAGTGAAACGATTCCGAGTAGGTGACTGTCATAATGCCTGAATAAATCGCTGCAAACGTAAATAACCGGGTTGAAAATTACTATTTTTACAATTATGTAATCACATGAAACAGTTCCAAACTTATTGTGACTGGTTTTTCCAAGTTTAACATAGATAAAAGTATTTTAGTAAGGAGACGAAGCAGGGACTTTTTTGTTGTTAAAAAAACAACAACATAGCAATGCATATAAATAAACCACTGGAAAAATGTTTTATAATAGACTACCCTAATAAATTGTATAGTCATGTGGACTACAGTTTCTGTAATGATTGCAATAGAAAACAGTCAAGCATTTAGATTTGCCCTGAGATCAACGCCTAACTAAAATTGGCCAGTTTTTTTTTACATACACGAGAAAATCAAAAATCCAATCTTTCTGTGACCTGCGAACACATCGTACTAGACTGGACAGTCGTTTTTAGATGCATCTGGCCCTACACAAGTCAATCAAAAGTCAGAGTCCTGGTGATGACCTGATTATTTGACACAGTGGTTTTAAAGCAGAGGCCTATTTAAAAGCTGCGGAACCTCGGTCTTTGAGGCCTGGATTGAAGGATCTTAAGTTTAAATCCTTAACTTTAAAGATGTAAGGGTCTTGGTCTAAGACACTAGGTTCAGGTGAGAGATGGACTTCAGGAAACAGCAGCAAGGCTGAACACATTTTTATCATTTTAAGGCTTTCAACCTGCTCTGAAGCCTCCTGGTATTGAAAATGTTAGAAGTCTTCTGGAAAGTTCTGAGTTAAGTTTAAGGGCTTATTTTCAGTAGGAAATAAGAAGATGAAAACTCCTGTGCTTGCATCAGATGGACACAAAAAGCTTCCAAAAGCTATTTTGGAAGCCATTTTGGAATAGCTTCCAATATTGAGCAGAATTATTGCTCAGTATTGCAATAATGATTGTGATTGACTCCCCTTTCCCTGAATCTTTTTCTTTCATCACAATGTCCCCACTCCTTTGTTAACTTTAGCACTAAGTAAAATGAATATGAAGGTCCGCTAAATATTGCAGTCTGACTCCACATATACTGTCTACTCTAACAGGTTCAGAGTTGAAAGTGTAATCACTTAAATTCTTAAAAATTTAGAGTTTGTCTATGTTAGATCAGTTTCATGTCTAAGTATCGACTGATCACAACATTATGGAAATGGGAGCCTATTTGTCATTGCACCCTTATTGGAAAACAATATGTATGAAAACTGTTAATTTTTTAAATTTATTTTATATTTTATTTTGCTATGAACTAGAGATCAAAATAGTCGTCCAAAAAACTCAAACAGTTCATCCCTTGGAACAGCTAGTCGCTACTCAACCTGCTTGCAGAAAGCTTTATTTTTTGTTACGAGCAGCTTTGAGCAGCTGGATTTGATTCGAGTATTTTATTGTAGTCCCATCTCTTTCTCCCCTAGGGGAACGCACCACTGGGTGCCGCGCACGCAGCGCTTATTTGGCGGTCAGATCATCGGCCAGGCTCTGGTGGCTGCTGCCAAATCAGTCAGTGATGATCTCTATGCCCACTCGCTGCATTGCTACTTTGTGCGAGCAGGTAACACTCAGATTATGCAGCATCTGGAGCCAAGCAACAGTTTGAAGAGTTGAATCATTTTTTGTGTTTTTTTTTTTCCCTTTCTTTTCTTCCAGGAGACCCTAAGGTACCGGTTCTGTACCAGGTGGACCGCACTAGAGATGGACGCAGTTTCACTGTGCGCTCTGTGAAGGCCATCCAGCATGGAAAACCCATCCTGATCTGCCAGGCGTCCTTCCAGCTGCTGCAGCCAAGCCCGCTGCAGCACCAGTTCCCCATGCCGGCGGTCCCTCAGCCTGAAGACCTGCCCACCGTTGAGGAGATCATTCAGCGTTACCTCAGGTACGACTCTGTGTGGTGGAGATGTGAGCTTGGTTGCTCTCTGTCCCACCTGAGTGAAATCTGCTGGTGAATGTTGTAGCAGTGATATTTTTACAGTAGTGTTTTTGTGTCAGACTGCGACAATTAAAGTTTCTTGATCTTTGAGAATGTATCATTACACCATTATCAATATATCACTTGGAAATGGATTCAAAACAACAATTTTATTGTTTATCGTTACAGTTATTGGAACAATGTATCGTCAAGCAAAATATGTTGTCTTGACAGGCCAAGTTGAGGGAATAACTAAAATGTTTGAAATTTAAGATGGTCTGAACCTTCTCTCTGGACATCCTCTTCCCTGAAGCCTCCTTCTCCAGTCCTCTGGGGTCAGAGGTCATTTGAGCTACCAATTAGCTGCTGGTTGTGAGAAGAAGCACCTTGTTTCCATGGTTGTTCATCACAACAGCTGTCTGAAAGTGTAAAAAAAAGCTGGACAACATCCAAAACCAAAGAGAATTGTCCAAACATTCAATGCCTCACCCTTAAAAACGTTTGAATAAAATTGGACAGATCAGAACACGCTGCTCCATCAGCCTGCACAACAAACTCCTTCATTCTGCTCTGAATGTGTTCTGAGGATCTGCTCACTTCACAGTAAACCAGACCTGACAGAGAGTGCAAAACAAGGCCTGAACAAACTCCTGGCTACCGAGGTTCCCATCGAGGTGAAGCCCGTCAGCCCAGCACAGTTTTACCGCCATGCTTCAGGAGAACCACGGAGGCTGTTCTGGGCCAGAGCGCGAGGACATATTGGTAAGATTTGAACAGGCCATAACGGCAAAAAAACAGAAACCTAACTGAACGAGTTCCTTGGCTGCAGATGGCTTTTGTTCCCATGCAGGTGAAGGAGACATGAAGTTGCACTGCTGTGTGGCCGCCTATGTGTCAGACTTTGCCCTCCTGGGGACTGTACTGCTGCCGTACCCTAAATACAAGGCCCGCTTCACCGCCTCCCTGGACCATGCTATGTGGTTCCACAGTACCTTCCGTAGCGACGAGTGGATGCTTTACGAGTGTGACAGTCCCTGGGCAGGTCAGTACCTCCTGCTGTGACCCCACTGTCCTCACATACCTGCCCCACTTCGTTCTGGACAACACTTCGTCAAGGACCCCATAGTGGGTCCTTGAGGGCTGGCACTTTGGGTGTTAGAGGTTTCTCCAAATGACTTGTGTAAATCATTGTAAACTCTCACTGATCTAATTTTGACATTCCAACCATGACAACAGATGCTATAGTACCTGAACCTTTAAGTTGGGGTTTATTAAAATGCTCTCAAAGGCTCTTTGCATGTAATTATACTTAAACTAAGGACACAGATTACTCAGCCTTACATTTTGGGGTGTGTCCATTTTCAAGTTAACGTCTGGAGATGAACCGATCTGATATTAATATCTAAATCGTTTGCCAGTATTAAAAAAGAATTGTAGATATGGTATCAGTGGCAATGTGCCCGACCCATTAGAGTAGATCTATTCAGTCTAATTCTGAGTGATGTTAGGCTTTATTATTTATTTTACATAACATTGAGAATTTCTAATTGTGCTTTCTGAACCACTTAAAAGAAGGTTTGTTGCAGTTTATTTGTCTATGTTTGACCAACATAGTCAACATGTTTTTCAGTTTCTACATTGGCTGTTATACTCTAAATTGTGTTGACTTAACAAAATAAAATTGTTGTTTTTATATGTCTTACCAATGTTGTGAAGCTATCGGTGTGTGTGCTGTACTGGTGCAGTTATCAAATAGATTTGTAATTCACTTCATTTATGTTTAAATACAGAAGGAATTTAAGTCAGTTCAGCTGTTTTTCTGTACCGGGTTGGTATCAGCCGATACGTTATGTCAGAATTTTTCCTTTTTTCTTAATTTTTCTCCATTTCCAGTTCGAGCCTAACATTTGTGTTCGTTTTTGGTGTGTGATTATTGATTCCTGCAGGAAGCAGCAGAGGACTGGCTCAGGGTCGGCTGTGGAGAAGAGATGGGGTCCTGGCAGCCTCTTGTTCTCAGGAAGGGGTCCTGAGAGTCAAACCTGCTCCAGAGAACAGCAAACTATAGCTGTTTTTTTTTTTTTTTTTTTTTACATATTTTGCTATAATTATGAGTGATAGCTGCTGTTTTAAGTGTTTTTAACTTTTAAAATGTTCAAATGTCAGATATTGAAATTATTTATGCACGGGGGGGAAATCTTTCTAACTTCTAGAGTTTTACATGTCAGGACTTGAAAAACAGTTTTTCAGTTTTATGTTTGTACACTGGAGGCTAAAATATAAGCCATGTTAGAACCTAATGAAGACGTGATATCTGAAAAACCCTGCAGACGCAACCAGATGTAGCGTTTATTATGACTGAGTAGAATTTATAACATTGTCTAAAATATTTGAATTTTATAAATTAGTATTTTAAAAAATTAATGGATGAAAGAGCTATTTTTTATTTACATATGCCCCAAAACAAAAAAGGCTAGAGTGGCTTTTCTATATTTCTTGGATATATTTATGCATTGATATGATGCAATGATGTAAGAGCCACTATACATTATTAACTCCTTTTGTTGACTTAATGCAATATTTTTGACCTGTAATGCCTTGTTAACATGACACACAAAGCATGGTCACTTGTTTTTAATGTATAATTTTCCTTACAGGGGTTTCCCAGAAGTCAGCATTTTAATTATTGCACTAGTGTCAAAATGTGCTTTGTATTTAACTTGTGAAAAAATTAAGAAAATTGTGCTCTGTAACAATAAAACTTGTAACTTGTGATAAGAAATGTTAATGCATTTAAAACCTGTGAGGAACATTGAAGCAGCTCAATAAACAGGGTAATGGTGAAGAACACAGTAGGTGCCATTTTTGTTTTATTAAAATGCAAAGGGATGCATAAAAACAATGAGCTTGTCAGAGACTTTTCTATATCTCTTAACATGGAACCGGTGCGAGAAAGAATTCTTAATTGTTTTTCATAAAATTAAATCTTGGGCATGTTTCTTACTGTGTGAGGAAGCCAGTGTACCAGGAAATAACCGACATGCAAAATACATAAAAATAATTTCATTTTCCTCAGTTGTGTTGAAAGTATTTTGGAGATTTCTATAGAAAAGTAAGAGAAAAGTTTCAATATCACTCTAGGAGTAATTCAAATTCAAAAATATTATTGATCCCAAGGGGAAATTAAAAGTGATGACTCGGTCATCTTTCCCTCCTCTATCCGTGCTTGTAATGTAATTATTAATGAAATATGGTACCTACAATTTTATAATAAGCCAATTCACAAAAGGAATTAAAAAACCTCAGAGGAGGCTGTGTTGTTTTGACACGTCGCTACGCCACTCGGTTGCTATGTAGTTCGCGCCCTTAGTTACCAAGTTTTCCCATGATGCATCACTTCAAGGAGAGCTTTAAGATAGTTAGTTAACGCTAAATAGCATTCTATACCAAAAATAATACTATATTGAAAGGAAGTAAGTATTTTTATCTCCTTTCTAATCTTTCTAATCACATATCCGGAAAAGTGATCACACTGATGTGATTCAACCCCGTCAGTGGTAGATACTGACAACAGCTAACGTTAGCTTCTCAGTTTCTGAGCTTTGTCCTTACTGCTGCGGACTGCAAACATGTATCTTTAAAATAAGGTAAGTCTTAGAAACGGTTTTTGTGATATGTATGAAACAATGCTGACTTAATTTTTATTGACGCTGTACGAAGTGCAGTGAAACACCCGTGCTAACATTACCGCTAGCTGTCTAAGCTACGTATCACTGTATTGAAGGCACGAGACTTTGTTTAATATTCAGTTTAAATCGTTTTTCAGGTATATGGAAGCAAACACAAGCCGAAGTCTTACGTTTGCACATTAATAATGATGGAGAAAGAACAACAGAGCTTCATAATCTTTAATGCTTCTAAAAGAGAGCTGTTTGGCATCAACAATGGCTACAAGTACATGCAGAAGAGACTCAGAGCGCAGTGGAAGATCCAGAGGTAAGAGTAATCAATGTTCAATATTCAATCAATGTTTTGCCCTATACGGTCATCGGGAAAACTCATCGGGAAAACTCACTTACTTCTCCAGCAGACTGACATATATATATCACTGACACCCTCCACAATGAGAGTAAGCTGCCAAAGGTCATTGCTAAATAAACCTGGTGTTCACAGAGTGCTGCACCTAAACATTGAAGTAGAAAGTTGAGTGAAAGGTAAAGATAGTGGTAGAAAATTATGCACAAGTAACAGGAATACCTGCAGTGAAACAAAACCCATTCACGTGTAGGGAGGTTGGTAAGTGCATCTGAATATGGTGAACTTTTCAGTGGCATTTTAATTTCCACTGTTTAGTGGAAATTAAAATGCACTCAAGTGCAGTATACACACTGCACTTGAGTTTGACAGTTTAAATTATTTAATGACAATAGCGCTGCCACAAGAGCCAAGAAATAAATAGATACACAGTGAAATAATTACATATATTTATGAAAGTTTTTCTTCAAAGGACAATCAGTAAATACATTTTATTTACACCATTTGGTAGATTTGGTTTCAGTGAGGGGAGTCAGCTTTCTCGACAAACGGGGAAACTTTGCATCAACACACGATGAATAAAACATCATTAACAATGGATCAATAGCCATAAAAACAGTAAAATAGAAACACTGACTCAAACTCAGAAACCTCATTTGGACAATATTAAAACATATTACGTGTTAGAAACCTGGTCATGACTTTCGATTTTATCCTCCGTACTGAGTAGCTCATCTTCATCCCTTGCAGTATAAAGGAAGAACTGTCTGTAGAGAAGCTGAGGGGTGTGAAGCTGTGGATAACTGCCGGCCCCCGGGAGAAGTTCACAGCATCAGAGGTGATATGCATTAAGGCGTTTCACAGCAGCAGAATGTTGCACAAAATCTTCAGGAAGAATGAGGATCGATTTGTGCAAACTTATGCCACATTTTTTTTCCACAGCTGGAGGTGCTGAAGCACTACCTGGACGGAGGAGGAAACATGCTGGTCATGCTTGGAGAGGGAGGAGAAATGAAATATGACACAAACATCAATTTCCTCCTGGAGGAGTTTGGAATAATGGTCAACAACGGTGCGTACAGCAGTCTGACGCAGAGCCCAGATTCCTCGGTCTGAGTCCACACCAATCTTTCTCTCTCCTTTCACTGCAACAGACGCTGTAGTTCGGAATGTGTACTACAAATACTTTCACCCCAAGGAGGCCCTGGTCTCTAACGGCGTGTTGAACAGGTCAGCTGTCACCTTTTAGTCGTCGTTATGGAAATGTGCTCTTTAATTTGCGGAGATTTCATCATTTTCCTTTGTTTCTTTTTTCTTTTAAAGAGAAATCAGTCGAGCTGCCGGCAAAGTGGTAACGGGAGTGATCGAGGATGAATCTATTGGAAACAACGCACAGTAAGCATCTCTGTTTTCCGACGTCAGCTGGTTGGGTTGGTTTGGTCTGAAGTGAGTTGACCTGTGTGGGTTTCTGCAGGGCTCTAACATTTGTGTATCCTTTTGGAGCCACACTGAGTGTGATGAAACCTGCCGTGGCTGTTCTGTCAACCGGCTCTGTTTGCTTCCCGCTCAACAGGCCCGTCCTGGCCTTCTACCATGGAAAGGCCTGTGGATTTCATTCTTTCTACATGTTTTATCCCCAAACATCATGACAATGACTACCTGTAAATATAATTAGTATAATTAGTTTTTGTCTCACACAGGAGTCTGGCAAACTGGCCGTTTTGGGTTCCTGCCACATGTTCTGTGACCAGTACACAGACAGGGAAGAGAACAGTAAAATAATGGTGAGACCAAATCTTTGAAGAACTTTTTGTAAAATGATTGATGAATGGGTGAAGGTCTACCGTTTTAAAGAGGTGTGTTTTTCAATGGTACCACAAAATTTGTTGGTATTTATTGATATAACAATACAAATAATAATAAAATAATTTTATGTTACAGCAATCAGAGCCCCAAAACATAAACATTGCTCTTAAAAAAAGAAACCTTTCTAGAGAAGGAAATAAACTTCTCTGGGACACCAGTTTACAAAATTAGCATGATTTTTTAACTGCTTACGTTTAACCATATTTTCTTGTTAATTCAAATTCATCTATGGTCTCATAAAAGTAGCAGTGGAGAAAACACTAAAAGTAGCTTTATGTGCTTTTAAACTTCATCAGCTACATAATTTCAGCAACCGCATACCTCTGAAATTTATTTATGTATTTTTTGAGCTTATTATTTAGAACATTTTGAACAACATGCAAAAGCAGAAATAAAACTGTTTACCTCATTTCATCGCAGGACGTCGTGCTTCAGTGGCTCATGTCAGAAAACATTCAGCTGAATCAGATTGACGCAGAGGATCCCGAGGTATGCAGACTGGACCGTACTAAAAGATCACCACAAGCGCTCGCCGTTGGCTCACTTCCTGTCGTTGTGTCGCCTAGATTGCAGACTACACAATGCTGCCAGACACGGGCCGCTTGTCGGAACAGCTGCGAGTGTGTTTACAGGAGGGAGACGAGAACCCGCGGGACTTCACCTCCCTCTTTGACATGTCTTTGTTTAATTTGTCGCCCAACAGTTTACCAGAAGTAATAAGGTACATATAGCGATTGTTTGCCACATGCCTGTTTTTTTTTTCTGTCTCTCATAGCTAAAACTATGTGTTTGCAGTTCTTTTAAGCAGCTCAATGTGAAACACGAGCCACTTCAGCTCATCACTCCACAGTTTGAGACGCCGCTGCCTCAGCTTCAGCCTGCTGTGAGTCTGAGATTCAGCATTCACTGAGCAGGAAGCAGATTGCAACACTGATGGATGTTATTTGTCCTTGAAGGTCTTTCCCCCTGCGTTAAGTGAGCTGCCTCCTCCCATGCTGGACCTGTTTGATCTTGATGAAACGTTCTCCTCTGAGAAAGTCCGACTCGCCCAACTTACCAATAAATGTAAGGATATTAGAGTCCCCAATATCTGCTTAACTATCTATTGAGTTGGGAGCTTGCAAATGAATTCCATTACCACTATGCCAGACAGGGTTTTGCAAAAATAATTGCCTCCTTACATCATTTCACATTTTGTGGCATTAATTTCAATGACTTCAATGTTTATTGGGGAAATCTTTTTTCCTAGTACAACCACAAACCTATCAAGACATGACTGTCCCTCTAAATTGGAAAGGAAAGTACAAATCAGGAAAATTTAAATTACAAAGTTGTTGAAAGCCATAATTTGTCAAATTTGCCATCTTATTTTTTTTTTAGTCAACAAGTCTAATTTTGTTGATGTATTGATTTGTGAAAGAGTATCCAAGCGTGTGAATTTATGGGCCGTATGAAGGACAACACTTGGAAGGTGTTCTGGTCAGAGACTGAGGTTAAGCTTTTTACTTGCATCTGTGGTGAAAACATATTACCCTGAATGAGCAGTAACATATTGTGGTGACAGGATCATCCAGTGAAGGTGGATGGTATCAAATGGAGGGAAACTGCTTCTGCAGCAGGATCTGAAGATGTTAACACTTCCCATTCTGACTTGACCTTTTAATGTTAGAATTAAAGAGAGGGAAAATGTTCCATCTGGATGTGTTCAGAGCTTCTAGAGACAAACACACATCTGGATGGTTCAATGTGCATGGCACAGTCCAAATATGTGCAAACTTAACTTTCATGCAGTAAGTTCAAGGTAGTTTAGTAAAGCCTATAGCTATCAGTCTTTTCGATGTTTGTCTAATCTGAATTAATAGTTAAATTGTGTGATCTGTTTTCTGCCTGTCTGCAAATTCAGCTGCCCAATTGACCATGTTTTAGCTCATTTTGGTGAGCTACTTGTAAACACCTGACTAACATGCAATGATGGACTGGACAAGATTCAGATTGTGTAAAGTAAAGCTTTTAAAGAGTGAAAGATTTAAATCGTCTCATCCAACCATTATTTTTTTTTTTTTTTAAAACAAAGGCACAGATGACGACCTTGAGTTTTATGTACGCAAATGTGGTGAAATTCTGGGTGTGACACCGAAGCTGGATAAAGAGCACAGGGATGCCAAGCACATCCTGGAACACATTTTCTTCCAGGTGGTAGAATTCAAGAAACTTAACCAGGTAAGATGGTAAATGATCCATGGTGACTGCTGTGGGACCCTTTACTAAATGTTAAAAATTAAATGTTTTAATTTTCACAGGAACATGACTTCGACCCAGAGGCCCGATTCACTCCACTCTGATCGGAACCACAATCATGTTAAGACTTTTTCCTCATGGTTTCAATATGAAAACCACATGGAGACCAAAACTGTACACAAATGTTATTTCACACTGCATTTTATTTAATGGAAACAAATAAATGTTTATTAGATTACACTTCATAAAAAGAATTTTTCTGTAGTTTGACCCTGATTGAGAGAGTCACCATAAGTCGGCAAAGTGGTTTTCCTTCCACCAACGTTTCCTCCAGTCAGCTGGTGTCTCTGCTGGCTCCCTGATCAGGACAAACTTCAGGCAGATGGGGTTTGGGGCTCCACGTTTGCTCCTGAGTGCCGGACTCCATGAAGAACCTGGGGCTGTTGCTTTCCGACTTGATCACGGAGACATCCAAGGAGACCTGCGAGGCCGAGAGGAAGGCCTGGGCCTGGTCGAAATAGACGGAGTTGCGGGGCTCTGTGGAAAGCACGCGGGGGGTGGAGAACTTCCCCTGCAGAGGGATGGAGAGGTTACAGCAGTCCGCCTCCTTCATGTTGGAACCGCAAGGTGCAAACACCACGGAAGGAGAAATGGCATCCGACGACAGGCAGAGGGACGCCAGCATGGACGACCTGCCGTCAAAGCCGTCCGCTCCGGCGGCGGTAGAAGGCTTCGGCGTGGACAGCTGGTCCAGAGACGAAGCGGATAAGAAACTCTGTTCCCCGAAAAAAGCCCTGTCCAACTCCGACGGAGAGTACTCGTAACTTTTGACGTCTAGAGAAAGAAGAAACGTTTGAAATGAAACCTTTGGGCTAATCAGATGGAAATGAGGCCGCTTTCAGAAATATGGACCTCACCTTTGAAGACAACAGCTTTCTCCATTGCGTCCATTGAGGCGGGAACCGGTTCAGTCAGCGGCTGCTGGATTTTAGTAGCTGGTTAATTGAAGCAGCTGGGGGAGGAGCTGACCCGCTCCAGGCCGAGTAATGCTTCTGAAAACTAAATGTACAGGATCACCACTCCCTGTTTTATGGCTCGCTATGTTTGTTTTAGTATATGTCTAAAAGGAAGGAAATATGGTTGAATTTTTTGTCTTTTTCTAAACGGTAAATTTTATAAGGTGATCAAGTCCAGTCCTCCAGAGCTGCCATCCTGCAACTTAGATGCTTCCCTGCTCCAACACACCTGAATCAAATGAATGGCTCGTTAGCAGGACTGTTCAGAGCTGATCCTGGTCTGTTGGAGTGAGGATGCAGCACCCTGGAGCACCCTTGATTTAATGATCATTAAAAAAAATACTGTTAAGCTAGTCCTATCCAGAGCCTGCCCAAAGCTTTCTTGGGCGTTTGGCAAATTTTAATCTGGGTGCACATTACTCCTTATAGACCACACCAGCACTAATATTTTATATATATATTCTGTGATGATTTAATATTTATATGATGTGCTTTCAACAGAAATTAAAAGATTTATAACAGATTAGTGCTTAATTCCTTTAACTCTTTAAGTAGTTATTTTAGGAATTTCAGCTCTGATTAGACGCCTTGGAGGGTGAGAAGTGGAATATTGCTGCAACTGGCAGCACAGCTTCCATTCATGCAAGTCAGGCACCCCTTCAAAATAAAAGTCTTGAGATTTTAAATGGTCAAACATTAGAAAAGCTGGATTTGAGGTAGCCGTTTTGTGAAAGAGTCATTTAATGTCCTATCAGTAAATTAATTATTTTGGTCGATTACTGCTAAGATTTTATTATGTTAAGGCATTTTGAACCGTTTTCACTTCATTTCATTTCTTTTAATTTCTGTTTAGGCAATCTAAACAGAAAAGATCCCAAAGTTAATGAGATATTCAACATTTTACCAATATGCTACCATATAATGAAGTGAAAAGATCCAACTGTGTCATAATTTTCTCAAAAATATAACTTTTGACTTCAAAAATGAAAAGTGAAGGAAAGTTTGGAGTTTGAGGCCCAACCTTTGTACAACTCTAGTCTGCTCTGTATTCCGTTAACAAACTTAGTACAGTCCAGAATTTAACAGACAAGAGGTAAAAAAAAAATTCAAATATATCAAGAGGATTTAACTAGTAACTTAAAGAGAGAGAGAGAGAGAGAAAAAAGAAAAGTTGAATAAAAGCTATAATTTCTCTATTCTAACATTTCTTTATGTTTTGATGTTTGCAAAATTTAAGCTTAAGAATATGAATGTTTGTTTTTTTGGTACTACATTATCTGAGTTTTATTTTGAAGGTCCGAACGAATGTATTTCTCTCTTCCCATTCGGCTCTCTGCGCATGTCCGCAGCGCAGCCACGTCACAGCTCCGGCAGTTTCAGGGAGAAGGGCGCGAGATAGAAATTGCAGAGCGCGGACGGAATGATCGTTCCGCCGCAGCTGATCGTTTCCAGGCTGCACAGTCCAGCTCAAACCTCCAACCACCTCCACTGCCGCTGGCTGCTGCATTAAAATAATATTAAAGCAGTGGACGTCGTGATATTTTCCTATTACATTTGCACATGACGTGCGGCGGTGGCGGCAGGCAGAACCACTAGGTGACTAAACTAGAAGAAAACAGAGGGAAATGTCCTGGTGGCCGCGCGGGTAAGAGACTCCTCACTGCTGTCTGAGTTATTCTCTGAAGGTTTATTACTCGTTTAACTAGCCCCTCTTTCACCAAACAGTGTTAGAAACAGTCACGCTGCCTGAATAAATAGTTAAGTGAACACAAACGTTCATTTTTGAGCTGCCGCCCTTTTCCGGAGTCATGAACCCAGACTGGGCCTGTCCTGTTTTCCAACCACCGCTTTCAGTGTGAGCCCAGAGAGATAAGAGAAAACCCTGCTTTCATCTCAAAAGCTCGATAAAACTATCAGTCGTCTCTGAAACATATCATTTAGCCTCCGATAACCAGCTATCAGCTAAACCCGCTAAATTTGTTCTCCTAATCTGTTATCAATGTTTTTTTGTTTGTTTGTTTTTTGTTTTGGTCTGGTTTCCAGTGAGGATGGAAACGACGCCATGCATCAGGACACTGATTCTGATGTGGCCGAGCAGAGGGACGGAGGGAAGGGGAAGGTGAAGTGGACACAAGATGAGGTGATTGTTGGGACATGTCCCCGTTTGGCTCTGTTTATGTGTCTCCATGAGGGACATCCGGTTTGAAACCTGTTGATGTCTGCAGGATGACAAGCTCAAAACGCTGGTCCACAGTCTGGGATCCAGTGACTGGAAACACATAGCCAGCTTCATCCCAGTGAGTGACTAACAATCTTTATGTTTTGTGGCATCATAGTAAAAATCCTGAGCATACTGTTTTTTGTTTTAGAATCACACAGAGCAGCAGTGCCAGCACCGCTGGTTTAAGGTCCTCGATCCAGAGCTGGTCAAAGGTCCCTGGACCAAGGAGGAAGACGAGAAGGTGGGCAGCGTTTTGCTTACAAAATGACCCAAACTGAACTGAGAAGAAACCAGTGTACCCATTTTATCTGTGGTAGAGTGTGGTGTTCATCTATCACAGAGAATTCTGATAAAATACAGTAATGCTGGAACCCTGTGAAAATGTTGAAAGGTGTGTGAATACCTTTCAACAGAGGGATCTCCTGTCACAGTCAGTCTTGCAACATATCTAAAGATTAGACTAAAGAGTGTTGCTGTATGCCATCGTCATGACTGTCCTGACATGCTGGTAGCTCAATATCTGAGAAACGGAGACAGTATTCCACAGCAACATGTCCTGGACACCACAAGTACTACTCTACAAAAGTTTGTAATGTGCTTTGCGAGCATACCAGTCATATAAAGAAGTGTGATGTATGTCACTAATTTGCTCACAGTGACTGCATTTAACCACATTTTCAAATTTATTGATACTTTAAATAAAGCAAAATAGTAAAATTAACAATCCAGACAAAACTGTTTTGGGGGGATTTCAACATCATAAAGTGAAATTTATTGTGGCAACAATAAATCAAAATTCTTATTATGATAAGAAATTTATCATGTTAAATGACAAACATTACAATAAATGCCCACTCCTAACTCAAACTTCTGGAAATAAGGACCGATTAATCGGTGCACCCCTAGTGTCCATTGAAGTTACTGGCTGTAACTTGACAAAATGTAGTTCCAGGGATATTAACAATTTTGCAAGGCTGTGATGTGTAAAAACTGTGGTCTGTAAAAACATAAGAAGAAGCCCCATACATTTCTCCCTTCAGGTCATCGAGCTTGTGAATCTCTACGGCAACAAGCAGTGGGCAATGGTGGCCAAGCATCTGAAGGGCCGGCTGGGGAAGCAGTGCAGAGAGCGCTGGCACAACCACCTAAACCCCAACGTGAAGAAGTCGTCATGGACAGCCGAGGAGGACCTCATCATCTACAAGGCCCACCACCTGCTGGGAAACCGCTGGGCTGAGATCGCCAAGCTGTTGCCCGGAAGGTCTGCTGACTTCAAAGTCCTTTACGTTGGTTTTAGAAAAGCCTGCCCGATCCCCCGATGATCTCATTTTACGGTTTTTGTTGACAGGACGGACAACGCCGTCAAGAACCACTGGAACTCCACCATCAAACGCAAGTTGGAGATGGGCTTCTACGCCCAAGAGGTGTTCAGGCCAAACGAGGTCGAAGAGCTGTTGGCACGCCTGAATAAAGACTCACAGGTAAGTTTGCCTTAACCTGATGCTCAGCGCCGCCCTGCTGGCCCTGCGATGTACTAATCCCACTGTCCTACCTTCTGTCACCCAGGGGGGCAGCAGCTGTCAGGATGCGTCAAGCAAAGAAATGGAGCAGAAAGACCAGCTTCCAGTAAGAACATGTTACTTTTAGCATGTAACATGGCTTCAGAGATGACAGCGTGGATAAATCATGCTATCGCCATGCAAACTGTATTTCTGTTTGGAACATGGAAATGATGCATCAGGACGCTTTTCTTTTTTGTGATATTTATTTTATTAGCATTGCCCTAATGCTCTGTCTTACTAAATGGATACATGTGTTGAAGTATCCATTTAGCATGTAGAAGGACAGAGTACAGAGAAGTGCAGAGTACTTCTACATGCAGCTGTAACTGTGTAAATATTAGCACAGACCAAAAGTAATATCTCCTTTAGTTAACGGCTACTATTGGTGAATTTTGTTATTTCTGCAGGAAGCGCTGGCTGCCAGTGAAGCAGAGCCATCCGAAGCAGTTTCCTCACCGAGGGACGATTCAGGCGTCAAGATGGAATTTGATGCTGGAGAGGAAGCCAGTGGTACCAACTGGGTGGTGGACAGCTCCGGCTTCCTTTCCCCCACTGGCCCCGCCCTGAAGGAAGTGCTGGACATGGTGGACGGGGTAAGGATCTCCACTGCACCTGACATGAGTACAAACCATGCAGAGCGAGACGAATCGCCCCCCTGTCCCACATGCAGGACCTGGATGGCTGGTGCAACCTGGCGGCCTTTGACCTTCCAGAGGACAGCTCCAGTCCCGAGCGCCACCAGTTCCGCCTGGAGGGCTCCGCCCTGCAGGAGCTAAGCAAAGGCAGCAGGGGAGAACTCATCCCCATCTCCCCCGGGGGGATCAGCCCGCCGTCCATACTGACCCGCCGCAGCCGGAGACGCGTCACACTGTCTCCAGACGGCGCACACTCCATGACGCCCAAGAGCACTCCGGTCAAAATCCTGCCATTTTCTCCATCTCAGGTGAGCTGTTGGCTGCTCAGGGTTTTGCATGTTTTCTAATGAAATATGTGAACTGCATTATCCAAAGTGTTTTATTAAGGATGCACTAATCCACTTTTTTCACTTCCGATGTCATTATCTGAGATTTAGTATCAGCCCATAGAGAAACAAAGTGCTGAATTGACTTGAAGTGTTTCTTTTTTACAATGTTTCTTTTATTACGTATAATAATAAATAATAAATGCAAATATAAATGTAGTGAATGAATTACAAATGTATTTAATAATTCTACACCAGTACAGCACAATTAAAGGGGGAGTATTATATGTTAGTGTCATTTTACAGCACAATTAAGTAACTATTACTTTCCGTTGTTATAAAAAAATGTTGCACATGTAAAATATGCCTTAAAATAAATTTGACGTCATCATTAACAGTGGGAAATTGGGCTTTTATCTCTTTAAAAACTCCTGCTTTGTCTTAAACCCCGCCCTCAGGAAGTAATCGCAACATGGCTCCTCTATTCACATTTTAATGTTTTTACCAGCATTTCACTCAGAAGTAGCTCCTATAATGAGCTCAGCAGTTTCACCAAGTCTTTGGTAATTGCTGCTGGCTAGTCTGAAGGAGCTGAGTGGAGGACTCTGAGGCAGAAGCTCTGAGTAGGAGCTGCGCCTCCACTGCAGAGTTAGGTTCACACAGCTGTTTTGCATAATTGAATGGTTGTTATGGTAATTAAAGTAGTTCACAAACATACATGAAAGAATTTAGGCAAAACTCCAGGTATGTTTTTAAAGTCAAATTGGCATCATAACAAGATTTAAAGCTCAAAAAAATTATTTAAATAATAAATATTGATAAATGTTAGACCAAGCTTCACAAGGTTGGTCAAATATGTAAAAACAACATTAATTTGTTCAGTCAGTACTGTTAAGAGTATATCAGCCAATGTAAAATAAATAAATAAACTGACAAAAACAGGTTGGCTACATTAGTCAAACATGTAAAAATTAAACTGCAACAACCTTTCAAATGGTTCAGAAAGTGTGATTAAAAATTCTAAATGTAATGTCTAATAAAGAAAGTGTGATGTTGCTCAGGACACAAAACATAGAATTAGACTGAATAGATCTGCCCTCATGGATCGACCACATTATCACCGATATCCAGTCTAGATTTTTTTTCGATATCGGGACTGATGCAAATATTAATATCGGATCAATGCAGATCTAGTTTTCATCAGTATTGAAAGTGTTGTTACCGAGACCCGGTACCGCTGAGGTCCATGTAGTCTGGTCATCAGCTGATTCTCTAACTGAATGTGTTGTTGTGCCATCTTGTCTGGTGGCCATGTTGCAGAGAGTAACCCAAACAGTTCTGAGGCCTGGTGTTGATTTTTCTGTTTGTTCTTTCAGTTCTTGAACCTGTGGACGAAGCAGGACTCTCATGACCTGGAGAATCCCTCCCTCACGTCCACGCCAGTGTGCAGTCAGAAGGTCATAGTGACCACACCACTGCAGCGAGACAAGACCCCTCTCACCCAGAAGGAGAACTCGGTGTAAGTGATGGAATCTGGTGATTGGCTCGGACTGCATATTCCATAAGTATGACCGTTTATTTATTTATTTATTTTTTTCTTCCTCAGGTTTGTTACACCTAACCACAAATCGGAGCTGAGCACAACCCCGCGGACGCCGACGCCATTCAAAAATGCCATGGAAAAGTATGGCCCCCTGCTGCCTCTGGTGAGCGCTGCTCTGAGGCTTCAGAAACTGCTTGTTTTTGAGTTTACCTTCACTTCCTGCTTTGCCTTCTCAGCCTCAGACGCCGAACCTCGAAGATGACATCAATGAGGTCATCCTGAGAGAGGCAGGCATCAGCATGGTCGTCGTCCAGGCAACGCCGCCTGATCCCTGCCGCAAAACAATGGTGAGAATCAAACAAATCCATGGAGGCTTGGTACTAGGGCTGCACCGATAAATCAGCCATGCTTTCCTAAGTTTTGGGTGACCATGCAAAAAACAAATTTTTTTTTCCACTGATGCTCATTTCTTTTCTTTGTATTTTGACCTCAGCATCGCCCTCCTATGAAGAAAGTTCGGAAGTCCCTGGCTCTAGACGTCATGGACTGCCGGGTGGTGCCAACATCCAAGCGCAAATCCAGCAAAGCGGAGGCCAAACGCAGCATCAAGGTGAAGTGGGAATAAATGGAACAATGGCTTCTCTGCAGACTGAGCGCCTTTAAACACTGAGCTTTCCGTCTTTCCTTCTTGGTCGCAGGAAGAACCGATGACGGTTTGTCTCAACTCCTCGTCGTTTTGCAGCAAGAGGCATGAAAACATATTAGACCAGGGCTTCCTGTTGGGACCGAGCGACACGGCCTTATTTCCCAGCACAACACCTCCTGCACCTGTAGGTTCCTGTAGTTTTCGAATTGAGATCATAAAAAAAAAAAAGTTCTTTTTAAATATTTGTATACTTTTATCATTTCCAGATGTCAAAAGAATGGACGAAGGTTGTTTGTGGGCAAACTAAAGACCAGCTCATAATGACCGAGAAGGCGAGACGCTACCTCCGCTCTCTGAAGAGGCATCCTCCAAGCCGGGCTCTGATTCTGTCCTGAGATCCTTCTGTCTCGCTAGAAACAAAGAAACGACAAACAAGACACCAACAGTTAAAATGACTCATGTTGGAGTGGCGCTATACTTCCCATTATTGTTGATCATACTTGTTAGGAAAGAACAGTGATTCTAAGAGTAACAAATCAGTGAAAAGTCAGGGTTTTGTATTGCATAATGTATCTGAAATGTAGCCATTTTTTTTTGTTACGTGAACTACAAACACTCGGGTAAAGTTTCCATATCTAGACATCTTATGGAGAAGATCTAGATGTCAGTGGTAGGTTGAGGGATCATGTGGATTTTAAGATTCCCCACCCCGCGGGGAGGAACCAACATGTTGCCAAGTTAGAGGAATAACTCAAAGTTGGCTCACTACCTTGTTTTATTAGGACAAAAATAGTTCAGCCAGTTCAATTTTTGGCAAGAGTCATAAAGCAGAGAACTTCACTGAGCACTGTTTAAAAGGTTAAAAGGCACTCTGTAAATATATTTAGGCCAATATGTTTTACTATTGTGATTGTTTGTCACAAGTTGAATAAAAACAAATACGTTCTGCACCTGTTTGGCTCTCTTTTGCTGGTTGACCTCATAGGACTCAAAATAAATGAAGGGTATTTGTTAAAAATTAAATTAGAAAAGGAGATGAAACGTAAATAAAATGGGTATTTTCAAATTAGGTACGTATTTTATTTCTGAGTTCTGATATTGCTAACCTACAACAGATCAAGACCAGATTAAGAAAAAATACATAAATAAAGGAATGATGTGCTGCCTGTGAATCTGTACTTGTGTGTTGGTTGTATAAATGGGCGTACCTAAGCTTTTAACACATCAAAATATTGGAAGTAGGACTTTAAAATGATTGTGCAAACGTCGGAGTATTTGGAAGAAAACCATGGATTTTACGAGTAGGTCACTTCATATTGATATTTTTATGACTTTTCTGGTAACGCATCTATAATTTTTAAATTATGAAAAGTATCTTAGTCAGGTCCTAATACTCTGTCGAACATAAAATACAAAATGTATGTTAAAATATTTAAAGTAATGACGTGTTTTGATGCTTTTTTAAAGCTTGTATATAAATCATAAACTTTTGCACGCTTTAACGCTTTTATTTTGAAAGCAACCGTTGGAGACGGAAGTCATCCTTAACCTGACAGGTTTCTCTCTGGGACACCGGAAGCAATCGTGGGTTTGGTGACGCTGCATTAGACTGCAAGACATGATTCGGACCAGTGAGTATATTCAAATAATTAATGTAACATTCCGTGCTACTGATTCGTATTGTTCATTCAATTTATATTATAAATGAATATTTAACTATATAATTAGATGAAAACGCCGCTTTCTGCACGCGCTGCGGTGCTTCCTGTCTAGGTTAGCCTGTTCTGCTCTTAGCTAACCCTTTCAGTCGGCGCGAGACTTATCCGAATGAATGAACGAATGAATGAATGAATGAATAAATGAATAAAATATATAGTGATATGTATGTGTCTTTTCTATGTAATGTAACAGTGAAGCACGCGCTCAGGCCAAGTGGTGGGCTTGCTAACTTCGGCTGTGTGTCCGCAGAGCTACTCGGGGTTCTCCTCCTCAGCCTGGCTCTTGCTGGAGCTCAGGCTCTCACACCGTCTCACCACCTGTCCCTGTCTGATGTGGGACGGCTCCAGAATCTTCTGAACCAACCGTACGACGACCTGGAGTCCGCATACTACTCTGTGGTTGGGCTCATCAAGCTTGGAGCAGCTGTTCCGGATCCTGCAGTAAGATATTCACCGCTTCTGGTTCAGAACAAAAACTATTAATGTCATCGATGATTCCATTCATTATGTTCTCCTTATAAATCTGTTTTGCAGAAAGTTTGCCAGTTCCTGAAATCCCAACTGGATCCCGGTAGTGTTGATTCGCTGTTCTTTGCTGCTGAAACCAGTAAGGCCATTTCAGGATGTGAGGTATGAATTATTATCCTGCTCATTTACATCCCCCACACTAGTTTATTCATAGTTTTGTTGACTACAGAACATGGAACATGGAATAATAAAAGCCAGTATTTTTTAAAGACAAAACAGTCACTACAGAAGATTGAAACAAACAGCACTAACAACATTTCCATTTAAATTCAAATATACTTTATCCTAAAATATTTATCCTGAATGTTGTCGTATCTTCAGAGTTGTTGGGATAGTGTTGCTGTGGGTAGGAAGGATCTCCAGTAGCAGTCAGTATTGCAGCGCATCTAATGAGGCCTCGGACTGAAGACTGTTGCTGTGACATGCTAATAGCTTTAACTGCTGATAAAAAAAAAAAAAAAAAACAACTGTCATTTAAGAACCATGAAGAAAACATAGACAAAAAAAACTATGTAATTGATCAAATATTCATAATTAGTGCTGATATTGTAGTTTGATGTTATATTTTGACTATTTTTTTCACAGTAGGATTGAACAGCACAGGAAGTATTCTATGTCTTACATTTAACGCAGTGGAAATTACCCTTGTCCTTTTTTTTTTTTTTTAGATCCCCGTTGCCAATGAAACTAGGGACATCCTCCTGGCGGCGGTCAGCGAGGACTCGACCATGTCTCAAATCCACCGGGCAGTGGGTGCTCTCAGCTCCTTGGGGCTCCCGCTCGCTTCACAGGAAGTGGTCAGTGCCCTCACGGCGCGTATCAACAAGGAGGACAACGTCATGGCGTAAGTGTAAGATGGAATCGGTCCGATCAGCAGCTCCTCTGAACGCTACCTTACTCCGCCTGTTTGTGTGCAGCATCATCTCGGCCTTGCAAGCCGCATCCCGCCTGTCCCAGCAGGCAGAACTGGGAGGAATCCTGGAGGAGATTGAGGTGATTCTGCCAGCCTCCACTAGGTGGTGCCGTATTGCTGCTTTGGAATCGGTTTGAGAGGTTTTTGTGTTTTCTCTCAGGATCTGACAGCTCGTCTGGACGACCTAGGAGGCATGTACCTGCAGTTTGAGGAGGGGCTGGAGGCCACTGCCCTGTTTGTGGCGGCGGCGTACGGCCTGTCGGACCACGTGGATATGGAACCGCCTCTCAAAGAGGTAGGAGTTCTCGCATCGTCTCAGCTTTTCCTCCGATACCCCTAAAAGTATAAACATTAAATCAATTAGTTCCATGATAAATCAAAACAACTCTGGAATTTCCATTTGAATGATTTATCATTTCTCTTTTCTCTCTTTCTACCAAAAACTGGATGATAAAACTTTTCAGTCCAGTGCTTGGTTTTCAACTAGAACTGCTTTTGAAGTACAATTCAGACTTCATAATTCATTTTATTTATTGTTTATTTTGCATATTTAAAATGTCTTCCAGTTTCAGTGTTAAATGTTTATTAGAATTGAAAGTTTATTGATCTTTGAGAATGCATTATCATGCCATTATTGCCAGAAAAATGTCTCAAAACATCAATATTATAATTTATCGCTGCAACTTTGCCAAATTTGCCTACCTGAAAATCCTCTTTCTCCCCTCAGGACCAGGTCATCCAGCTGGTCAACTCCATCTTCAGTAAGAAGTCGTGGGATTCTCTGTCCGAGGCATTCAGTGTGGCAAGCGCCGCTGCTGCCCTGTCCAACAACCGCTTCCATGTCCCTGTGGTTGTCAGTGCTCAGGGTCCAGCCACCGTGTCCCACAACCAGCCCACCCTGCAGGTACACCCACTATCTGCTTCCTGCTGTGCACAACCACACGGCTAAAGAACAACTTTTTCGCAACAGCTGTTAAATCAGTTTGTCCACCTTCCATTCTCTCTGCCCCCCTGTAAACACACCACACCCTTATGCTGCACCCTACGGACTGATTAAGACATTCTATATTTATCTATCACTCCAATGTCATTATGTTCTTGAAACATAAAGACAAATAATAATCTTATGTCTTTAACGCCATCACAGTAGTGATGTCATGGCTCTGTGTGTTTTATTCCAGCTCCTGGTCACTGACGTCATGTCCCAACCTTTGGCCTCAGCCAGCGTTCTCGTGGAGTCTGCATATGCTGTGGCATCCAAGAGCACCGTTCTCAACCAGGCACCGTTCATTCATAACGAGTACGTATGACAGAGGTGACTTCACAGGAGGTGGCTGAGAAAGGAGGAGAGGAAGAAACTGTATTGTTGTTAAGCCTTAAAGATTTCAAATAAAGATCAAGATTAACAAATATTCCCTAGTTTTTCCCCTAGAAAATGGGGAGGGATTTTTAGAAGTGCACAGATTGATCGGCCTAATTTCTTTAATTTTGGGTGAACCACTATCAGTCGATACTTTCATATGGAACCCTAATTCATCTTTTCTACATTAGGACCCCTCGACTTTTTACTCCAGTAGTTAGTAGAATACCTGTGTAGGATAGCGGTGCATTCGCACTTTGTTTTCTGGTGAAAGTGTAGTGCGAATGCTTTCAGCTGAAGAGAGGAACTCAAATGAGCTAAAAAGCCAAAGTGATGCAACAATTCTCACAGGACTTTTACAGTAAAGCTGCTAAAGTAACTTAGATCTGAGTAGGCCTGTCTCAATAAGAAATAAATCAATTAATCACATGCTGAATTAAGACAAATCAATAATTTCCATCTGCAAGATTGATCATTTCACCCATTTTTGTCTTTCAAGCAAAAATTGGATGATAAGTCTTCAGTCTAGTGTTTTGGTCTCAACTAGAACTTTTTTTTTTGGAAGGACAATTTTGTTTTCAGCTGAACAACAATTAATTTTATTTGTTGTTTTGTTTATTTATTTTGGATATTTAAAATGTTTTCCTGTTCCAGTGTAAAATGCTCAATTAGAATATAAAGTTTATTGTTCTTTGAGAATGTGTTCTTGAATCATTACTCTTATTACTTGAAAATGGTTTCAAAACACCAATATTATCCCTTAAAACAATAACTTCTGGGACAAATCATCATCCAGCAAAAGTTGGTGATGTGACAGGTGTAGATCTGACTGAAAATAAGAGTTTAAACTGCTGTTTTCTAGCTTTAATTTTATGAAAATGTCCAAATGTTTTATCCTTTGAACATACCTAACTGCCTCTGGACTCATTTACAGTTTGAATGTTAGCCTTTAGCTAACCTAATGCCAGAGTAGTTGAGTCAAAAGCAGAAACCTTTACAAAATATGTTCTTAATGAGAAAATCAAGAAAAAAGTTAAAGTACTAAGTGACAAAAGTCATGGAGTAATCATGTTCTAAAAATGGTAAATATTTTGAAATTTGAAAAAAGGATAAAATAACAGTGAGGTCATCTGAGGTGTGTGAATGCATTGATGCCAACACTGCAAAATATATAGAACCTCAATATGCACTGTGATGATGGGAGCAAATGAATGAGAAATTATTTTTAATTTAATGGTAATCTTCAACAACAACACAATATGTTTTTTGTAATATCGTTCAATGCTGATCCACAACAGGGTTACCTATTACCTGAGCGAATGCAGCTTGTTTCCTCCATGTTCTGCCTTAATGACTGTGAATCCTATATGGGTGTGGACAGCAATTCTACTGATTATTTACTGTGTTGTTCTTTGTTTCTGTTTTTAGTGGCGTCTTTGAACTGAATTTCATGTCCAGCCAGCCGGCCAGTGGATATTACCAGTTCACAATTGGTGTGACTGGGGACAGCCGACTAGTAGCCAATCACATTGAGGTACGATTAGTTTCACTAACTAACCATGTTTGAGTCATGCTACTGCTTCTGCTGTGAAGTTCCAACTATCCATCCATTTTCTAACACCCTCAATCCTGATGGAGTTACCAGGGGTGCTGATGCCTATCTTCAGCGAACATACACCCTGGATATGTCGCCAGTCTGGCACTCTGAAGTTTTCTTTACTAATTTTCATTATGACAGTAGAATAAAGAAAGTTCCAGACTCCTTTTGACATTTTTATTTCACCTTTATTTGTAAATCTCATTCAAAGGGTTTCATTTTTCAAGAGCAACCAGTTTGAAATATACACACAAAACAGTAATATAAAACACAATATAGTCAATTAACTGAAAAAAGTACAACTCAAAATAAAACAAAAGACCATAGCAGTAAAACATTAGGAGCTGAAACAATATTGCTAAATGCCTGATTGTCCATAAAAAAAGACTGAATGATTCTGTTTGTTGGTGTTGCATTACAGGTAGGTTTTTCATATGATAGCAGCTTCTTTTGCTGTTTGGTTTTGGACACCAACAAATTGAGTCTCGGCTGGCCAAATAGAAGTGAGCAAAAATGTGCATATTTAAATCTAATGTAGTACATTAGATTTAAATAATTAATGTTTATTCTGCAACAAAAGAACGATTCTTCTACTTTTGGAGCGCCGCTGTGATGGGTTGAGGGCGGCAGATTACATGAACAGGAACATTTCAGCCAGATTGATTTAGGCAGTAATGAACAAGCAAAGATGCAAAGTGTATTCACATTGTTTTCTAAACATAGAACAAAACATCTGAATAATATTAACAATTATATGTAATCATGCTTATTTTTGAAAAAGCTATTGTGCAGAAATTGTTAAAAGGAAACAACCTTTTACATTTAGTGTGGATTACAAACATTGTGTCCTGTATTCATTTCCAACAGTTGGTGGCTTTTAAGGTTAATCAGAATTACTGTCATTGAATGTTTTATAATAACTATTCTATTGTTAGCTAAGGCATAAAAAGATACAAATATCTAATCACAGTTGTATAATTGCGGTGAGGTTAGAGAGATGCACCGATCTGGCCAATACCAGATTTCAGATATATTTGATAATTAGTTTCCAATTTTAACCAATGCCATTCTGATTCTTTTTATTATTATTTCCTTTTAATTTAAACATATATTTGTTTACCCTGGACCAGCTCTTTTATTATAGGCAAATGCAAAATGGAAAACTTTAAGTTTATTAGAAAGATAAACGTTAACAAGGATACCTTTGCAATCCCTTCATTTTCAGTTGAGTTCATCTAATGAGGAATTCATGATTAATGTTTTTAATATTTACCTGTTGAATTAAGAGAAAACTGGAATGATCAGGCCTGAATTTAAACAACCTCTCTCCATATATGACTCCATCAGAAAGACCTCCAAATCAAAACCACATACTCTGACCCCTACAAAAACACACACTCCAGAACTGGAATAATAATAGCTGCGGCTGCTTGACTCAGTGGTGTGCTGTGTGTGTTAGTATATGCTTGGATCACGGCACATTTGTATTTCCATTCAATAGAGAATACAACATGAGTCATGGCACCTCTGTATACAGCTATAGTGATCTCAACCATTTTGTCCTGGTGTCCATTAGTTTTATGATGCAATGCCTTGCAAAAGAATCCACACCCCTAGACTTATTTCTCACATTTTGTTTTAAGATATTGTGGAGGCATTTATTAGGTATTAGAGGGATAAGATATTAAGAGTCACCACTCGATATAATCACTGTAAGCAGTGATTATTTGTGATGTGGAAGGTAACCATTACATGATTTTCATATCTCTGCAAATAGAAATCTGAAAAGTTGTGGCATGAGTGATTATGTATCCCTTTTATTGTGACATCCAACACAAATGGCCTTTGTGTCGCCTAATCTGCGATGTGAGACTGGGCTCTCCTCCACAGTGTTCTCACGAAAACCAGGAAGATGGAGCACATCGGCCCAGTTCTAAAGTTCTTCCAGTGGTGTCTTGTCATTAATAAGTTTGAATTTATTGCCAGTTGGCTGGAAGGTGTTAGTACATGTCTGTAGAGATACAGATCTTGAATCTCATTCATAAAGGTCTTGGAAAAGTCTTAAATTTGATTTGGTGAAACCTGCCAAAACCCTATGTGCAGTGCTAAGGGGTTTCCACTAGTAATTATGTGGTATGAACCCAATTTTAGAACCTATTTTGAAACCTCATAGGATTCAGTCACTGAGTGGTCAGAAGGAATCGACTGGTTGCTGAAAAATCTGTCACATTTAAAGTTTGTCATGACCCATGCAAAAGAAGGTCTAAAAAATGGAGCAATTTGGTCATCACTCTACAGTAAGGGCAGGGTCTCCTCCAGAAAACTTGCTAGGGCAGTATACCAGCGGCCCACCATGCTTTTGTATTTAAAAACATGTTACGTTCTCTTAACAGGAAATTAGCGGAGATTATGTGTTATTGTATTGTTTTCTTGTGGTTTTGCAAAACACATTACGTTTTAACCTGTGGTTACATAAGGAACTGAACTGATAATATCACTTGTTTCATTTAAACTTTTAGCTGAAGGTCAAAGTTTCCACTGAGGTTGCTGTAACTAACATGGACCTCTCTGTGGTGGACAAGGACCAGAGCATCGGCACAAAGACCACCAGGTCAGGAAACATGGCGGACCTCTGGGGCTGCTGCTCTGGACACCCAGAGGCAAGACGTTTAACAGCATTTATTGTCTCTTTCTTTGGTCTGTTAACGCAGAGTGCAGTATCCCTCCAAAGCCAAGAGTTCCTTTACAGCAGACAGCCACCAGAACTTTGCCATGTCCTTCCAGCTGGTTGACGTCAACAATGAGCAGGAGCTCACCCCTCACCAGGTCTGTAGCTGTACGCTGTGCTGCTGTTTCTGCTCTTATAATTATCATTGTTAGCGTTAAATTATACAGCTAATTGGCCAAGAGTTGGAGCTCATTAACACCCAACGCCTTTGTTGTTCCTACAAGACGTTTGTCCGGCTGCACAATCAGAAAACCGGCCAGGAGGTCGTATTCGTCGCTGAACCTGATAGCAAGAACCTCTACAAGTTCGAGTTGGACACGGCTGAACGGAAATCAGAGTTCGATTCCATGTCTGGTACCTATTCTCTCTACCTCATGGTAGGAGATGCCACCCTGGAGAATCCCATCTTGTGGAATGTGGTCAGTGTCCAACCAGGCTTCGTTTTTGGAAATGGCGATTTCTCATATCTAAGGTGTTGCTGAAACTGACTTGTAACCTCTCAACAGGCTGATGTCATCCTTAAGTTTGCAGAAGAAGAAGCTCCAGTCGCTGTTCAGCCAAAGACCCTTTATGTACCCAAACCAGAGATTCAGGTACTACGTCTGTTTTCTTTCGGTGTCTGTACATCTTTTATATATATATATATATATATATATATATATATATATATATATATATATATATATATATATATATATATATATATATATATATATATATATATATATATAAATAAATTGGCCTGTGTCGTGAATATGTATTTTTTTTCTTCTTGGACCTGTATCGGGCAAAAGTTCTAGTGGTGCACAGACATCATCACTGCCCTCTGTCTCTTGATATGGTTAAGGCTGCTGGTAACAAGCTGCTAATACTAATTAGCCTGTTAAATTTTTGTGCATCACGGGTAAGTGTAACTATATCGCCAGTTTACTGGACAACATTTGTCTTCACCATTGATTGGCTTCTGTTGACAACCCATATGAAGCTAGATGCATTCTGTGCCTGTTGAGAACGGATTGGACAGCCAGAAGTTTAAGGCCTAGTCCAGATGTAGCCAGGAATAGGGAAATAAATAAATTTGTATCTATTTATTTTAATATGCTATTTCAAAGTAGCTCAATCTATTTATTTGTCCACACAAATGAACCTCCTGGGCCATGTTCATTTTTAACAGGAAGTCGTGGTTGTTTTGAAGCAATCTGCTCAGGTTTTGTAGAGCGCTACACCGCCCCCTATGGATTTGGCATGTTGAAAACAACGTTGAGTGGCAGATTTTTTAATTAAGATTTTCTTTCACTATAAAGATATTGGTCTTAATAATGACTCAGTTAAGTGAGCACAAAGCTTCATTGTGACTCATTTGAAATCTTTTTCTGTGCAGCATTTGTTCAGGGAGCCGGAAAAGAAGCCTCCAACGGTGGTTTCCAACACCTTCACTGCTCTTGTATTGTCTCCGCTCCTGCTTCTGCTTATTCTGGTAATATTGAAAAACATGCTTAAAGTGTTTTTTTTTTTTTTTATCTGTTCAAAAATCTATTTAGAAGCATCACTTGTGTAGCAATCGGTATTTTTAGATCCACAATCCCATTTTCAATGAGAACATGGTCAATGGACTGTCCAGTATAAATATAATGCCTTTTTTAATTTAAAAACACAATAGCCCAGTGTTGTTTTTTTGTCTGCTGAGTGTTAGGTATTGTTGCTGCTAATCATAGTATTTTATTAGCGATAAACCATTTGTTCAGCTCTTTTGTTTGCCGCTCTGACTGGAGAGTAAAATGATCTCATTGTTAGAATTTTCCCTCTCTTTTGTAGTGGTTTAAGCTCGGAGCCAACATTTCCAACTTCAGCTTTTCTCCAAGCACCATCCTGTTCCACCTGGGACATGCGGGTAAGCTCCCACAGTTTTTTCACGTTTGCTCCGTAATTAAAGCTGTTTTTAATCATAACATCAAATTTAAATGGAATATATTCCTGCGTCTTGAACTTTGTCACATTTTCTCTAATTCTACAAACTCAATTAAATCTGATGGTGTGGCATGTATTTTTCACCCTGTTTGTATTGATACTGCTGTAGAACAGCAGATCTTTTGAAGGTCTCTACCACCTATGCACATCTGGAGTCTGAAATTGTTAAATTTTATCGGCAACATGCATCAATCTGATTAGTTTCAATTGACCTCCATCTGCAAAGTTTTTGTTGGGTTTTGTGCTAAGCTAACCCTGTTTACTGTAGAGGATGGATCGTCCTCTCTTCTAAGACTTAATCTTAGAACTAATAATGGGGCTCAGTTAAAAGTTTTGAGTTAATTCCAGACTCTGTAATGAATTAATCCCATCTTAATCGAAAACTGTATATAAAATACACTGCATATAAATGATTGAATACGGTGAATAGATGTCTGAGCTCAGCAACAAAGATATTTATTGTTTTGAATCTGTTATTTAGGTTCTTCAACCATCAGGTTGGAACAAAGTGTTATTCTACCCATTCAGCTTCCCAGAGTTTCAGAAACTTCTGATCTTTTATGGAGCTTCTTTAGAAATATGGACTGTTGACGCCGACATTAGCGTTAGCCTCTACATGTTTAGCATTGAGATGTGTGTTGTTTTAGGCTTGAATAAACTAACTCCTTTTGGCACAACATGAACACAACAATCGTCTTTTCCAGCTTCCAATCAGAATGTTTTCTTGAAATAAAGTGAAATCCCAGTGGGACCAAGAGAAGCAGTGTTCTATCACTGTTGTTGCAGATGTCACTTGTGCTTCAGATTTAGGGGCATAACAGAAAAGTGCAAATACAAAAATTTCATACAGAATCTTTTATAGGTTACAAAAAAATTATATAAATTTTAACATGATAAATTCTGGGTAATTAATCGGAATGTGTTAAAGTCCTAGTTAAAACATTTTGGTGTTTGGCTCGGCAGTTGAATGCTAATAATTTATGGACTATATACCTTCTGAAGGTTGTTGGTTGCACTTGATTTTATTTTATGGGTGTCTGGTGAAAACAAATGTTTGCCCAATATTCCAAATTTTTCTTTGTAAAACATGTCGAAATATTACAGTTCAAGGAGTATGAGTAATTTTGCAAGATGTTTTATGACATTTTATTTCTAAAGAAGCAGTCAGATGAAAAGGTTGCACATTCTTTTACTTTGACTCTTCTGTCTCTTCGAACAATAAAGTTCATCATGTGGCTCTTAATTTACTTAAAGTCTTCTGTTGTTCCAGCCATGCTGGGTCTGATGTACGTCTACTGGACCAACCTGAACATGTTCCAGACTCTGAAGTATTTGGCAATCATTGGCGGCGTAACCTTCCTAGCGGGGAACCGCATGCTGGCCCAGAAAGCAGTGAAGAGGTAAGTATTCTGACGGAGAGAGTCCTTCACCCGGACAGAAAAGCCTCACCCCTCATTCCTGGTGACGAACACTGCTGCTGCTCTTTGTAATTCTTAGCTGCAAACCTGAAGAAAAAGAGCCTTTTCTGTCTGTAGCTCCCCTTTTAATGGAACTTCAAAGGATCATTTCAGTCCAAAGGTCTCTGCCAGAAGAAGAGCTCATGAATACAAGAAGAGAAGCATAGCAACAGAGGGGGCAATTTCCCCCCCATCAGTATGTAGAGCTCTTCAGGGGCTGGAGTGAGCAATTTGCAGCCTGTGTCCCTGACTGAAGAGGTCACTTTGACTGCCCTCTCTTAAGCCAGCCCATTTAACCCCCTTTAAGCAAAGAGAAGGTTTCGGTGAATGATTTCCCTAATGTTGGACGTTTTCCTTCTGTCTTTTTAACCCTTCTGTCCGCACCTTGCTGTCTCTCTACTCCTTTTTCAGGATTGCTGCAGAGCAGAGTAGTAGGTTGGCAAAGTATAGGAGCCTTCGGTAAAGCCCCCCCACACTTTTGTAACATAAGAGTGGGTTCTGCTTCCAGTCTGAAGTAAGGGCGTTCTCTGAGACTGCATCCACACTGCATTTACCATAATGTGTGGCAGTGTGCATGGCTGTGTGGTGCTCTCATCCCCCAATCACTCACCCCATCATGACCATTACAACCAGAGTCATTACAGCAACATAGTAATCCCTCCATTGTGGTCTACACTCTACTATACAGTTTGCTGTTCAAATGTTATTATAATTTTTTTTTTTTACATTTTTGAGACTATGCCCTTTTTATAAAATGCATGACCAGCTTCACTAGTTGGATGAATCCAGTCTGAGTAATCACTAACGTTTTCTTTCTTTTTCCCCACAGAATGGAGAAAAAATAAGGACAAAAACATTCAAAGAAGAAGCTGATGGTCATTTTGTAATTTTATTTTCTTGGTTTGCTACAAAATCAGACTCTGGAGGAAAATGGCACGAATGTTCAGGAATCCAATCGACGGTTTTAAACATGCAGTACGACTGTTGCTTAACAGAAGGGACAGAGACGCCTTGGGACAAACACTGACAGATTCTCCTGCAGAGGGCGGTAGAGCTTATGATCGTTGCACTTTTCTTTTTGTCCAACACAGCAGAGTTTTTTCAGTACATTTTTTTTGTGGTTTCTTGATGAAAATTGGGTTTTGTCCTTTTTTTTTGTACATTCCTCTTTGTTGATGCTCTGTGCCCTTTTTCACCTCAGAAAGAAGCTGCTGCTTCTTCTTCTTCCAGAAATAATCAACAATTGGACATTGCACTGACACCCCAAAATAGTATCAACTACTCTGATGGGTTTGCCTGTGGTACTCTTTTATTTTCTACAGAAGATGCTCCCAGGATGTTGATGAGAAAAATTTTTTTTGTAATGAAGATGGGGAAAATAAAGAAGCTGAGGTGAATTTATGCTTGTTTGTCGTTTATTTCTTCATGTAAAAAGAAGGTAACTAAATCATTTCTGTAAAGGTTTTAAAAGGTTCATAGATGTAAATAACCAAATGCTTACAGACATGTAACCTTGTTTTTCCTTCCAAACTTTTAGTATAATGGAGGAGATGATTCAGTCTTGATCTTTATTGTATTCCTGAAAGTGTTGGATGCATCGCCAATCAATGTCACATTTTTCAACTGGAAAAATGTACAGCATAAAAACATTAACAAGTACTTGTAGAATCACTCATCAAGAAGCCATTATTTTGAACATTAAGTGTTCAGGTTCAAGGCAAACTTTCATTTTGCATGTCTTTCCCCATTACTGTCACATTGCTGTTGAAGGCCACTGGAGTAAGAGAACCTAAACTGGTTCTGAAGTTTACAGAAATATCAGTAATGACCAGTTTGAGTAACTTGGCTCAAACACATCTACATCTGTCTTAGAGGGTCTGTGATGCAACCAAGCTAACCAACAAAGCTACAGCAGACTGTTACAGGATAGGGGTTGATTCTAGTAGAGCAGAGTAACAGTAGCGTTAAAATCCTCAGGTAAAAACAGCTGTTTGCAGTAAATCATATTTTAGCTGACTAAAACATTTAAGCTAGCATCCTCATGTTGAGGAAAAACTATTTTCATTAAAATGCACAATTCACTTAAAACACCAGGTGTTTCAGAAGAATTGGTTTTTCAATCTTAAAAAAAAAAAAAAAAAAAAAGGAATTTCTTTTAAACCCTAAAAATGTTCAATATTATAAATGAAATGACCAAAATCATTTCTTGTACATAATTTGTAAATCACTGTAAAACTAAACATGGATCCATAGATTTCTCTTTATTTGTCTAGAAGAAAGTTTGTCTCCTCAGCAACAGATTCTGTCCTGCTGGACAGTTTTGATCTTACATTTTATTTCCAGAGTGTCATAATGCATAACTGTGGCAACAAGGTATTGTTTTTACAGCTGGAAGCGGCTCATTAGCATATCGAAAGTTCAAATAATACCTGAACTCTGACTCCAACTCACAGATGAGTTGAAATAGAGGCGATGTGGATTTACTTTGTGTTGCAGGCCAGGACCATCAGATGAAATGCACATTAAATGAAATTAAATAAAAATGATTAACCAAAACATTATTGTTTATTTTACTTTGTTTACAATCCATTATTTTTTTCCCATACATTCTGTCTTTTACTGATTCATGGTCATGCAAAACCATAACACGCCGTGGCACTGAAGTGCTACTCAATTATGGTCATGCCCAAAAGGAAACAAAATCCAACCCAGAGAGTTGATGTTGATGGCTGGGCTCAATGAGGGAGAGTGGTAGTGATGATGTGAGCTGTGGGTGTGACTGAGCCTCAGGTTCAGTATAAACTGACCATGGATGCAGAGGGGGGCGACCAGCAGTGTCCCTGTCTCTTTTGTCCTGTTTTTCCCGGCAGTGACGGACGATGAGAGTGGAAGGCACCGAGTAGAGGCTCAGCAGGGACGCTCTCAATCTGCGTTAAAACTAGGTAACTCTCAACACACACACACACGCACCTACACACACACACACACACACACACACACACACACACCCCCCACACACACACACACACACACACACACACACACACACACACACACACTACTCATGAGTCTAACATGAACTGTTCCATTGGGTGTTTCCTTTTTGTGTCTGAGGATACACATCTCCATGCCTCAACTTAGTTTTTTTGTAGTTTCTTTTTTCAGTTGTGTGGTGACGCTGATGCTGGGAAACTATGATTTCAGCTTTTTTTTTTTTCTAATGTAATTTCTACTCCTGTCATTTATTCTGGTAGTTCAGTGTTCTCCAGGACTTACTGCGATGATGGAGAAAGCTGCTGTGCTGCTGCTGCTCTTCTGCTGCCTGGTCATGTCTTTGTCAGGCTCCCCGCTCTACCCGTCCATCAGGTACGTCTCAACATTCACAACTTGTTAAATGCTGTTTTTATAGAGCGATTTAAGGATAATTTGAAGGTTTTGGAAATCCCTCATCACTGTTTGAATCAGGTGTTTTTGTAGAAACTACATTATTAAAATAATATTTTGTGTTTGGTTTTAATCAATGTTCTACAGTTGAAATAAAGATAGTTCAACAGCTAAAAGAAACTTAAAAGGTACTGGTCAAAATTTTTAAAGATGTACATGCCTGAATTAAGCTGATTTTTTTAAACATAATTTTGCACATCTTCTTTTTAACTCAAAATATATATATTTATTTTTTTATATATATATTAAAGGATAATTTTGTAGTAAGGCATGTGTTTCTCGATATGTATCCACTAATCACTTATTGGCAATTGGGCAACAGGTTCAGGAGGTAAAATCCAACATGCTTCTACCCGACAACACTGAAGGTCATTCTGGACGATTCCAGTGTCACTATGCCAGAAAATGTAGGTCTCTGCACCAGGCTCTTGCTCTGCCCTGCTGTTCCTCAGGACACGCCTGTAAAACCCTCAAAGGTTATACAGGAAGCTGACTTCAGCTGCTTGTGATTGAGCTCTCAGTATGTTCATACCTTTCTAACCGCATTTCTACAGAAGACGCCTCACTCTGTTTAACACTCTACTGGTCTACCCTTCCATCATGAAGAATAAGCTTGTCTGTCTGGAGCAAACACTGACCGTCACCAGTCTGGACTGAGATGTCCACTAAGGTCATTGATGGAAGACACCAACAGAACCACATCCTCTCCCCAAACCAAATACTCTCCTCTCCCAAACTGCTTTGGTATCGTTGTCTATGAAGCCCAGAGACTGGAAAGAGGCAGAGATCAACACAGATTTCATATCCCTAACATCCACAGATGTGAGTTGAATATCTACCATATAAGCTCCTCCACCAGATGTCCCCTTTTCACCTATTATACTTGTTTGGGCGCCACCTGGTGAAGGGCCACTACAATAGTACAAATAAAAAAAAATACATCTATTCTGACAAGATGACAGAATCTGTTGCAAAGTGTCAACAAGACCTCGGGACTAGCAGCATTGCTCACTCGCTGCGAACTTCCTCGCCTGCAAGTTTGCCTTTAGGATTAGCAATGCATCTAAACTAGATAAAGCTGGAAACAAACTTCAATTCTTGCTCCATCATAGAAACCTTGTCAACCACAAAGTAGAGAATTTATATATTTAATTTCTTATTTGAATCAACAGAGGTTTTTTTTTTGGATTGAACTGAATTAATGTTTCTGTTTTTAGCTGGACGCTGCATGCAACAAATGAGAATAACAGCTGACTGAAGTATCTTCATTGATGTTTATTGAAACATTAGTCATTCTAAACAATCTAATATCTCATTTGTTTGGGTCAGTAAAACTCAAACAACAAAGATATCTATGAGGTGTCGTTTGTAAAGTTAGTCAAAACTAATGTAAGAAAAAAAATCTGTCATATTATGCCCATGTTATTTATCATCTTATAAATGTCACAACTTCAAATAAATACCTATCTTTAAGCTAACTGTTCAGCCTGAAGTTCAATATTTAGCGTGCTATTTAGTTTGTAAAATTACTGTGTTAATTAAATATTTAGTTTGAAACTGTTACACTTAAACATGAAAATATGAGTTTTCTTTCTTTTTCTGCAAGAAAAGTAACAATTTATTGCTCCAAACTTTGACTGTGTAACTTTACAAATGCCCCCCCCCACAGATATCCAACAGTTACTAACCAGGTTAAAAGAAATAAACGATCAAACAGACAAGTCTACGTTCATTCCTAATGCAAATGTTGTTTTGAACTTTTCACCACTTACTTTTCCTGTCATGTCTTTGTCCTTATGCAAAGAAGGGTCAAGATGTCTGAATTAGTCACTGTAGTTACATTGTTCCACTAGTGCATCTTAATCATGTTGTCCAGCGCTCAGGCAGCAGAACATGTCATTTGACAAGGACAAGAGCATTTTGTAAACCCCAAGCACGATTTAGCTTCTAACATGAAAATGAGATTTAATAACTCATAACTGCGGCTTAAAGTTGAGGAAGGGCATGTTTGAAATTCAGTATCGGACATTCAGGAAGAATATGGTGATGTCTCACAGGTTTGGCCAAAGGGACACGTCCATCCTCATGACATCTTCCCTGAAGAATCCGACAGAGCAGCAGGACGAAGACAAGATCTCTCTGAGGGACGGAGAGGAACTGCGGTGCGTATGGCTGTTGTTTGGCAAGATGCAGTGAAAACTAAGAAAATATGTCTGTGAGGAAACTCTTTTATTGTGGGCAAATCAAACCAAAGTTACTTACATTTATGCATTTGTAAAGCAAAGCTAAGAAAATCATATTTCATTAAAGCAAACTGATGTCAGCTTCCTCTTCTCTGATCTTTAGCTCTGAACGTCACGCTGATGCCATCTTTACCAACAGTTACAGGAAGGTCTTGGGCCAGATCTCTGCCAGGAAGTTCCTTCAGACTATCATGGGCAAACGGCTCGGGTAGGCAGGGGCGTCTGTGCGCAGAGTGTGTTAGTCACTGCAGAGCTTCATTGTCAAACTCCTATTGTGGCCATCACTGTGCTCTTTTGCAGAGATGAAAGTGAGAGCTACATGAAACGTCAGTCAGACATCTATGAGGGGACGTTTAAAGAAGATCTCACATCCATCCAACGCGATCAGAGGTACAGAAGAAGGCGGGGGAATGTCATGAGGCCCAGGTGAAGAAATACCTCAGGCTTTAAAATCGAAATCCTCCCTCAGCGATATTTTGTTGTTGAAACTAAGTTAAACACTGATTCTCTACAGAAGTTGAGGATTAACTGAAGAGTGGGAGCCATCACTGATTGGGTCCTTTTACTTTATCTAATGTATTCTATACAAATAAAGTTAGTAATATTGTCTTTTGTTAGTTGTTATTAAGAATTAAATTATTAATAATAATTATTATTATTAAAAACTGTGAAGACAACCTATGTTTGGTGTCATTCCTGGGGAGAACGGGATCATTCCAATGAGCAGATTTGATTTACATCGGCTTACAAAAATATTCATACCTCTTATCTTCTTTTTTATCATTGCAAAAACAAACTTTAATGTGCTCTATTAGGATTTATGTGATAAGAAACAAGAAGCTTTCTGATGAGGGCTGTGTAGCTTATGAAGCAATTAGTCCAAGCTTTGAACATATCAGAGCATTCTTCAATAGATAAACTGCAAATCTTCCAAAGCATGACTGTTTACCTAAGGCCAGGAAATGAGCGCATTAGTTGGAGAAGTAGCCAAAATGTCTACAGTCAATTTTGGAGGAGCTGCAGAGACTCTTGGCTGAGGTGGGGCAACATGTAGATAAATATTGGCGGTGTTCTCTGGTCTTTTTTGAAAAGCGGCCAGAAGGATGCTCAGTTGAGCGATAAAAAAGCCCTGCAGGGAACACTGCAAATGTGTGAGAAAAGTAGAGACCAACCTTTTGATTGAGGTGACTATGTGTTACTCTTTTAAGCATGCTGCTTGGTGGCTTTCTTGTTTGACCGAAATTAGTTTAACCCATTTTTTGTTGTTACAAAACCTAACCCAGACTGCCAGGTCAAACTCTTAATCCAGTCCAGTTGGAATAAATGGACCCTTGGCTGGTTTTGTTCATTTTTGGCTCATATGGTAGGGAAGTAATAACTCTGCAATAATAAATCAGTTCCCTCTTCCAAGGCTGCAAGAGCAAGATTAGATCATTCTGTTCGTGCAGATTTTGTTGCTGACACATTGTGTGGGCAAACAGTCTTTTATTTGGGAAGTTAGCAACTGTTATATCAAAATGATGTAGTAGGAGGATCTTTCCAAGTGTTCTTGCAGATCACAGGACAAAATTTTCCATTGTTGTTGAATATTGGCTGCTGGGTTATTTGAACTCAGCAGTTTTTAAAGACATAGTTGATAAAAGTATGACCATAATATTGTGGCAGCACCTTTACTATTCTTACAGATGCAACAACAGTCCAGTACAAAAACACTGTAAAAAAACACTTATTGCGACAGGTTATAAAAACAGAAATATGACCAAAAATCACAGGAATCATAATGCATTTAAATAAGTAAATTGTGTAGCTGTATAAGAATAGTGCAATTGCAAAACTTCGGAACCCTTTTCTGGGTATGTAAAATGAATCTAAATAAAACTCAGCTTCAGTTGTCAGGAACCTTGTTAGGTGGGACATTTTAGAGACGGACTACAAATACGGACGTACTGCAGATGGATTCAGCACGCAGGATGCAAGAGGATTCTCCGTCTTCCGCTATTTCATCGTCACAGGTTGTTGTCACAAAACCAAAAACACTCCAAACCAGTTTGAATTTTGTCCTCCCATTCTTCAGAAAATTTCCCAAATTTGATAATGTTTGTAAAAATACGCATTAAGCCGACCAATATCCTCTTGCTTATCAATAACAATAGGTGTCATCTGTCTTGTACTCTTGTTGGTGAATATAGGCTGATTCAAAGGCAAAAATCCTTTATTAACATTCTACTTGTACCTCAAAATGTAGAGTTTGTGTCTCCTTTCACACAGTTATTGTTGTACGATGGCATTTTATAATTTAGACTGTTGAACAGTTTTGTGGCACCGATTATTTAGAGTAGGAAGTGACTCATCTCGCTGTGGGAACATCTTCGGCTGCACGTAACGTCGCGAGCTGAAATGACATATACTCAACTTCACTTTTGTAACTTAAGACACAGGAGTTAAACAATTGCGAATATTAGCGCTACGTGTTGCTGAATAAACTAAAAGCGCCGAGTTTTATTTCACAGGAAGCTCTGAAACAAGCATGAGGACTGTAAAGCCCTTCCTTTGCGTCTCCAGACACTGGGCTCCTCTCAGGTGGCTCTCCAGACCCAGAAACTGTTCACATGCAGCCAGAGCCAGCTCAGGAGAGAAGAAGACAGCTGTCTCCGACAGCTTCAGGAGACAGGTAGCTTCCGGTCCACGTTTTAAGGACTTTATTCAATCTCCTCCAGTGACTCTGGTTGTAAATTGCGAACATACCGACGAACATTACCTTTCTGGGGACCTGGGGCTGCTGGGGGACGCAAGGAAAGGTTGGTGGCACGACTGACAGCTTTACATCCAGTGGCTTTGGAGTGTGTATAATGATGGCTTCCCTCATTTCAGTGTATTTTGAAACTTATGGATGCCAGATGAATGTAAATGACACAGAAATAGCCTGGTCTATACTGCAGAAGAAAGGCTATGAACGCACAGCTGATTTGAAACAGGTATTTATTATTAAGCTCTAAGTCTTTCCATGAAACAAACTTCCAGAAGCATAGCTAGAACATGATTACTGCACACAGTTTGTTCTAATTTCCTGGTCAGAAATGGTTAAAAGAGGTATCTGTTTATGCAAAGCTTCATCCCACACATGCACAGTTTAGCACATGATGCATTTTATACATTGTTCCTGCAGAGGAAAAAACCCCCTGAAATCTCAGTCATTTGCGCTTTATTTTTATTTATTATATTTTGGGGAAAATCAACTTGACCAATTATCCTTCACATGGTTCTGAGGTTTCCTTATTACTTTGACCAAACAGCTTGAGTTTATGTAGAAGGAAGATATTTCTTTCATTTCCTGAAAAGTTAAATTCTTTGGAGATACAAGGTTTGTTTTAAACAGTAGCAAGTCGATATCAACAACTTGTTGGTCGTTGGATGACTGACCCAACCCAGACATCAGCAGGTGTTGGTCATGCAGTCTGGACCAATCAAAATGCAGAGCAAAAAGGTTAAAATAGGTTGTGGTAACATCAGGTTACTACTAATAGTTTTTGCTAGTTTTTCCTCAGTGATGTTCATAACTAGCTACGCAAGGCAATAACAATGTTTTTGAATATATAACAATTTAACAATCTTCCTTTCGAGCATTGAGGCTCGAAAGGAAGATGTTTCAATATGTTTTCTCCCTGTGTGTGTGACAAATGCGAGACACAAAACAATAAGGAGTGGAAATCAATGTCAGAGTGGAGATAGAACACAATGTTTTTCATTGTTTAGTTAGTGTTGTTTTTTTCTCTTCTAGGCAGATGTTGTCCTCTTGGTGACCTGCTCTATAAGGTGAGCTCGTTCAGGCACATATATTGGACCCCTGGTATTTGCAGGAGTCACGGACCACAACCGCCCACAAATAGCTAAAATCCGCAAGTACTTGAGACCACAAAAAAACGCCAATTTCAATAGTTTTAATAACCTAAAACTCATGCTAAGTCGTCTACAGGGTTAAGGTTACTCTCCTTAACCCTGGCGAGAGTATTGACCACTCGCCAGGTTCAAAGGAAACTAAGGTGAATGCGAACTGGAGGCAGGAAATGAGCAAGAGTAACAATTGTTTTGTTGAAAGAAGTCAAAATACAATACGGTTTAATAAAACAATTAATAACAAGCTGGTTTAATGTCAATATGTAAACCCTAGTCCTCTTCAATTCAGTGTTTCAGTTAATCCTTTTAGTCATCGAAATGTCTTTTTAGTTCACCTTGTTTTTCTGTTCAGTGGTTTTAGTTGTTTCCTTGTTTGCGTTTGCAGTGGAGGGATGAAGCAGGTTTTTTCAGTGAAGGTTCGGTTCCGGGTACAATCCAGGAATCCAATCCAGTTTTCTTCATCGGACAAAAGAAAACTAACCAACAGATTTCATTTTAACACCTCATATGCCTCAATATGGATTAGTCTGTATAATGGAAACCGCCTTATCTTTGCCACAGAAGCTAACATCAACAGTCTTATCTTTATACATCCAACTGGCATTAAGGGAAATAAATGGCTTTCCTGGATTGGCTGCTTTGCAAATGCCCAGAAATAGAGCGTCAACTAGCATTACGTCAAGGCATTTTAGCTTCCTTAGCTGAATTTTCTTTACATTGTTTTAGATAAACTCAACAAACAAAAATGCAAATAGGTAAATTTTCCACCAGTAATTTGAAGTTGCTCTCCACAGAAACTTCTGCAATCGCTGAACCATGAACTTGGGGGTCCAGTGAACTCTATTTTGAAAAGCTCTTTGTTTGTTCTCATTATACAAATATATGACTTTGTGGCCAGATTAACAGAAGCAATGAAACTCTTTCTCTAGAGAAAAGGCCGAACAAACCATTTGGAACAGACTCCAACAACTGACAGCCATGAAGAAGAAACGATTAAAAACCAACTCGCCAATGAAAATAGGCATTTTAGGTAACATAATATACACATCTGTTTGGCTCTCATATGTTGCAGTAATATTCAGACAGCTGTGTTTGTCCAGGCTGCATGGCTGAGAGGCTGAAGACTGAGCTGTTGGAGCGGGAGAAGCTGGTGGACGTCCTGGCCGGCCCCGACGCCTACAGAGACCTTCCTCGACTTCTCGCCGCCTCCGCCGGAGGTCAGCAGGCGAGCAACGTGCTTCTATCTCTGGAGGAGACCTACGCAGACATCATGCCCGTCCAGCATGCCAGTCAGGGCCGCAGTGCTTTTGTGTACGTTGCTTCTCTGTTTGTCAGAACTGATTACCCGGATCAGTTCTTAACGTTTTTTTTCTTCCTGTTTTGTTGCTGGCAGCTCCATCATGCGAGGCTGTGACAACATGTGCAGTTACTGCATTGTTCCTTTCACCAGAGGTAGAGAGAGGAGCCGTCCCGTCAGCTCCATCCTGGAAGAAGTTCGGATGCTCTCTGACCAGGTAAATCATGACCCAACACCCAAATCAACCAACCCTGCTCAGTCCTCTTCTAATGCTCCTGCTGTTGGAGTCGTCCTCCTCCACTCCATTGCTGCTTGTCCCTCACTTCAACCACATGCAATGTCCGTCACCGCAAGCCCCCACAAATATGCAACCTGTATCAGAGTGTCTGCGCATCCTTAAAAATTAAAGGGTGCTATTATGTGATTTCCAGCCAGTTAGTGTCATTTTATAGCAGAATCAAGTAACTATGTTACCTTTACTTGTTCTAAAAATGCTAATATGACCAAATAAATGTTACTTCCTAATTTAACCCTTTGAAATTGGGCTTCTGTCTCTTGAAGAATAGCTGCTCTTTTTGAAACCCTCCAAGAAGTCATAACAAAACTCTATTAACCTTTTATCAATGTTTTTACCATTCCTGTGCTGCTTGTATAATGTGTTCAGCAGATGCACAGTTCTAGCTGTTTGCTAACTGCTGCTGGTTAGTCTGAAGGAGTGGAGTGGAGGTGTCTTGTTAGGCAGAATCTCAGAAACTTGGAAATTGCAGGAGGAGCTAGGTCCACCCAGGTGTTTTGCATAGATGAATGGTTGCCATGGAGATGAGAGGATATGAAAGCATCAAGGCAACACTCCAGTTATGCGTTAGATTATTACATGATTATAACATTATAATTATGTTTTTTCAGCTTTAAATCATTGCGTGATTTAAAGCTGAAAAAAGTTGATTGTACATAACACTGTCCATTATAATTCCTGTATCTAAAACAAAGGCCGTAAAGTGATTAAAATTAATAAAAAAGAACAATTAATTTGGCCTTAAATGTGTCAATCTGCTGCCATGTCTGTAACAGACTCCAGAAATTGATAAACTAATGATCAATTAATAAGCAGCCATTTTCCTCAAAACCAGTTTTTTCTCTTATCCTGAGAGTCTTTCCTTCAAACAAAAGAATCAGTTTTTTATAATATGCTGAATTTGAATCACATCTATAAATTTTAAAAAGTAACTGTAAAAGCTTTATTTAAACACACTGGTGGGTTTCTCAAACATGATGTCAATTTTGACATATTTATAAAATAACAAAACAGGAACCTATCAGACCGCTGAGTAAACAAACAAAATATGTAAAAAACTTGGTCCGTGTTTAACAAAGAGATGTAAATCGTCTTATAAAGACAAGGTAACATCTAAATAAGGGGTGTTCAAAGTGCGGTGCAGGGGTCATTTTTGTGTCCATTTAAATGATTTTGTGGGCCCTCAGTTCTAGAATAGAACAACTCTGGGCTGCAAGCAGATGGAGATTTAAAAAAAATCTTTAGGGCAACATTTTGACAGACAAAATATATAATTCTAAAATGAAATACTAAGTGAAACATAACTTATTTCTAATGTACACATAGAGTTTCTGCATTTATTTTAATTTTGCGGTAAATGGAACCACACACTATTTTCTCAAAATTTTAGGAAACTTTTACTCAAATCCAAACCTGATTAAAGAAAGCTTCTTTACTTAAAATAATTCAGAACAACATCATAAATTACACACAAAAAAGCACAAGTATACTATATCAATTACAATACATGACCATGTAAGAAAACCTTTAGGATCAGCACTCATCTCTGATATCCCAACATACGTGTGTGTGCGTATGTGTGTGTATTATGCATTATGGGGACCATTTTACTGACATGTATAACGTTGTGGGGACCCGCTGCTTCTTGTGGGGACCAAAGCCTGGGCTCCACAACGGAAACGCTGTTTTTGGGTTATGTGTAGGACTAACGTGAATTAAGTTTGGATTAAGGTCAGTCAGTGGAAAGTTATCGCAAAGATAGAGAGACAAACTTGAGTGTGAGTGTGTATATGTTTGTGTGTGTGTGTCTGTGCCAGGGTGTGAAGGAGGTGACTCTGCTGGGTCAGAACGTGAACAGCTACAGGGACACGTCAGAGGTTCAGTTCTGCAGCTCGGAGCAGACCAAGCTGAGCCACGGCTTCAGCACCGTCTACCGAGCCAAACAGGGAGGCCTGCGCTTCTCCGACCTGCTCGACCTCGTGTCACGCATTGACCCGGACATGAGGATAAGGTTCACTTCCCCTCACCCCAAGGATTTTCCTGATGAGGTACGCCCTGCACGTCAGGTTCTGTCTGGATAGAAATGTGTTCCCGTTGATTTCTTGTCAAACACAAAGGTCCCACTAGAGAAAATAATGCCGAGCTGTTGCTGTTTAACCCGGATGCTGAGTTCTGGTGTATGATGGGTTCCTCCAGGTTCTGCAGCTGATTGCTGAGCGACAGAACGTTTGTAAGCAGATCCACCTACCGGCTCAGAGCGGGAGCAACAAGGTCCTGAAGGCCATGCGCCGGGGGTAGGAAATCACTGCCGCCATTTGTAGGCTTGTCATAATACGCAATAAATCAGTTAATTGAATGATAAAGTGAGACTAAATCAATGATTTCTATTGTATGATTTATCATTTCTCTTTCTTTATTTTTAATTTATTTTATTTTTTTACCAAAAACTGAATGACAAAAGTCCTTTGTCTCAACTAGCCCTTTTTTTTGGACAATGTTGTTTACAAAGAATTTAAAATTCATTTTAACTGTTGTTTCTGTCATTATGTTTAAATGTTTATTAGAACTTGAGAATATGTTCTTGCATTATTTTGCCATCATCAATGTATAATTTGAAATAATCTCCAATCAACAATATCATTGTTTATCGTGTTAACTTCTGGGGCAATGTGTCGTCTGTCAGAATTTATTATGGTGGCAGCTGTATCCATTTTAAAATAACAGCTGAAGGATTTTGTTTTATGAAATCTTTTTATATTGGACTCTCTACTTTTCCTGTCCAGTTACACAAGAGAGGCCTACCTTGATCTGGTGGACAATATAAAGCAAATCATCCCAGGTAAGCAACTAGAACCACTTTGATTTATCTTCCATCACTACGTATTACTAAATGAGATATTGATCTTATGGGAATCTGACCATAACTGTACAGAAATTCCAGTTATAAACCAGTTTGATGTGTTTGGGTCATTGTCCTGCTGAAGTTACCTTCAAGCCAACCATTAAAAATGTCAAATTATTATGAAATTTATTCTGATGATGACTGCATACAAACATCTGACCTGTATTTTATGTTGCTTTACATAAATAGGACTCTGTTGTTCTGACAAAAATGTTGAATTGCAGTTAAAGTTGTATAATCCGTTCTGACGCCTTCGCTGCAGAGCCGACCCTGCACCCATCGGGGAGCAGCGTTTACTGCTGACTCAGCCAATGAGGAGGCAAGAGATGTCAGCGTTTATGCACTTTTAGAAAACGAATGAAAAGAAAAAGAAGTATAAATGCAGACTGCGCTGCTGTAGCCTTCACACTTCTACAACCATGAAATGACAGATTCCTGCTTCCAGCTTCCTGCTAATGCTGAGGAGTTTAAAGATGTTCCAAAGGTGTTTTATGGTCTGACATTCTAAACAAGGTGCACAAGGAATTACGCAGGTGGTGTTTTTTTATTTGTAAAAATAACAAAAAAAAAATAGTTGCACTAAATGAAAACTACTAATCATAAGCATTAGTTCTGATAATGCTAAAGCGTTCCACCAACACGGTATTGAGTTTAAGATGATGCTGAAGCGGTAACTTAAATTCAAATGATGTCTGCCCTAGAAAGATTTGAGCACCAGCTTAATTTTGACATTGTAGTTGACGTGTTCTATAATGTCCTTAGAAACAAAGTTATTGGGGGGAAACTAGAGAGTGATGAAAGGAAACAGAATAGCTGTGTAAACAGTGTACCCAACATATTTTCCTTCAAACTTAATACAACTTCAAGTCATTTTTGAGGACAGTCAGCTGATGTACTATTGTGGTAAAAACAATCATGAGTTCCTCAGAAATCACTTGGAACCTCTGATCAGCATTGAGTCGTTGGCTTTATTGTTTCTATTTATTTATTTATTTTAAATACTTTTCTGTAAAATCCAATTGACTGGTGATCCTCATTCTTGTGCGTCAGATGTCAGTCTCAGCAGCGACTTCATCTCAGGCTTCTGTGGTGAAACGGACAACGACCATCAGCAAACTCTCTCCCTGATCAGAGCGGTGGGCTTCAATGTGGGCTTCCTGTTTGCCTACAGCATGCGAAAGGTAAGCTCCTGCTGAACCGCTGCAGTGTCGTGCTCTGCGGTATTTACTCTTTCATCCTGCTCTTTCAGAAGACGCACGCCTTCCATCGGCTGCAGGACGATGTGGCGCCGCAGGTGAAGCAGCACCGGCTACAGGAGTGCATCAGCGTTTTCAGAGAAGAAGCAGAGAGAGTGAACGCCGCTGTGGTTGGCAGCACGCAGCTGGTGTTGGTGGAGGGAGTGAGTACTTCACTGACCACATAAAAAAAGCAGAAACTTTTTACATATCTGATCAGGGTGAGACTCATTAGCCTTGATCATCTATTTTTGATTCCCCACCATGTTTAACACCCCTTAACATTTTTGATTTTTTTGTCAGTAAAATCCAAATATTTGTTACATTTTATATGTATTTTAGAAAATGAACGCTCAATAAAATGTATGTCACACTTTTAATATTATTTGTAGAAACACCCCTGTCTTGTTTTAATTCCACTTTGCAGTTATTATGTTGCATTGGTCTGTCACATAACAAGATTAAAATACCTTCCTAAAATAATAGTCTAAATTATTTTTTGCCAAGTAGATTTTTTTTCTTTTTGTAACATGTTTTGGAAAGAAAGAGGTAGAAAGGTTTTCTTTTTTTATTTCTTTGCCAAAACCAGTTTTGGCAAAGATAAACTTGGCTCATTGTTTTAGGAAGGTGATGAGATTCAGTTTGTGGTTGGATCATGATCAAATCTGGGAAACTAAAATCACATTGCATATGTGGATTTAAAACTGAAGGGTTCACATTAAGATGAACCTGAAAACAGGACAGTTTCTATTTTATGACGCACATGGGTTTGGGATACTTCCTCAGTTAAGCTGAATTCATGGATGGGGAAATATGATCTGCATTATCTCTTTCAGAAAAGAATATATTGTGATTTCTAATATGCCTCATTGTGTGCAACATCAAAAGTCATGTATCTGTTGCAGGGTTACTTTAACCTGTTACCAGGCAACACCACTCAACTCTTCTCTCCATTTTTATTAAGGAAAGTAAAAGATCTACCGAGGATCTGTGTGGGAGAACTGATGGGAACATGAAAGTAATTTTCCCTAAAGAAGATGTTGCTGTTCAGGCTTCTGCGTCCAGCACCGCACCGATCCGAGGGGGCGACTATGTGCTGGTGAAGGTAGGATGGGTTAGCTTTCATCCCCACATAAAACTGGAATCTATTCAGAGACTCAACACAGTTTCATTTAGGTTTAAAATATAACCAAGCTTATTTAGCAAATGATTTTAGAAAACATAGGCAAGCACAATTTTCTCTGGGGTGTTACACTACAGTTTCCCAGGGTGCTGTGGTGGCGCAGGAGTGAAGCACAACCCACATATGTTGGGTTGTCAACTGGAATGAACATATATACTGACAGGTTTCAGAAAAACTGGCCACCAAAGGGTGTGTTGTTGTGAGGACACTCTTGTAAAAAAGATCTTTGATCTCTAGGAGTTTTATCATGGTTAAAAAAACATTTCAACATTTTACCATAACTGCGGTATTAGAGATGCTGTAAAGGTAGCCTTTAAAATTAGTTAAACTCACTCAAATTCTTGATTCCTAATCCTAACACATAAACTTTGAAAAGAAAATGTTCATTAGCTGTCTAACACATCCCATCCACTAACATAGGGGCCAATCAGTGTTACTCATTTTATGTGTCAGTGGTCAGTGCTCCCACAATAAAAAAAAAAGAATCAATTTCAAGTTAAGATGATGAGAAACATTTATTAGAACCAATTCAATAAATTCCACATTGAACATAACATGAGACACAATGATTGCAATTTTTTTGACAGTAGTTTGACATCATAGTTTTCATAGTAAGAAAAACCCCTGAAATGTAGATTTAAATGCTTGAATATCATTTTCCTATTGAAATGTACAATAAAAAAACAATCTGATTGGAAGTATTTGCTACACCTTCTACATTTTCAGTCTGGTACATGTCACATCTGTACAGCTGGATAATCTGACATGTCAGTAGTTTGGTTTCTGCTACATTAAATCTGACATCTTCTGTCTGTGTAGATCCTGTCAGCCAGCTCCCAGAGCCTGAGGGGCCGGGCCCTCAGTCACAGCTCCCTGATATCAACAGCGACCCCCAGCTGTGATGGATACAAGTGACGCTATAAACCACTATTTAATGTTCGCCTTTATACACTTTTATCATCAGGAGCAGTTGTATTTATTTGACTAAAATCCAGTTATTTATCATGATAAATAATTGTTTAACTGTTGCCTGTGTCTGATTTCTATTTTTTTCACCTCAAAGAATTTGATTGATTGTTTGCAGTGACATTCTGCAGAAGATCTGTTCAGATCAGCACATTCACAGAATCATTTCACTAAGATAGAAAGTTTCAAACAGAATTTAGCTGACGTCATCAGCTGAAAGGTGCTGTAGTCTGTTTTGGGAGGAGTGAACTGTTTCTGAAAAGGAATAATAGAAGCCACCAGTTCCACAAACATCTACAGTTTTGAAGAGAGAAAGAGAGAGAAAAAAAGCAAATGTAGAAAAACAACTCCAAAATGAAAATGATTTTGACTACGGTTCAAAACAAGAAGAAAACGGCATTCTTCCTGTCTTTGCAGTCCAATTCGTGAAGTTAACGTCTGTCCCGATCAGCATGTAATCCTGCAAATAAAAGACAGAAGAAAAAGGTTATTAGAAATCAGTGGGGTTTAACAGTTTTATGTAGAATCTGGTTCTGATCTCTGCAAAAGTCAGAACAGAAAATATCACGTCTCTAACCTTCATTATTTGAAGCTGGGGGTTCACAAGGTTAATTTTTCCGAGCGCAGGAAGTGGGTAACCCTTATCGAGTAGAACTGTGAAAGAAAACTCAGGTTGGGTACAAATTAGACCACAAACCTTTTAACCTGAAGACAGTTATTCATAAAAATACAATCACTGAGTTGTTCATGGGATGTATGGAAATCCTTATAGAACATATTATTTCATTAAAAACCATGTTTCCTATCTTCTGAGAAGAGTTAACTAGTTTAGCAACATTAAAGTCATCACTTTAGTAAACATATTTTAGAAGCCATTTAGATGTCAGGCAGGTAAAACTGTAGCCTTCACATGTTAACACATGAAGACTACTTTTAGCAATACTACAAAAGTATTTCAACTATTTCACATATCTCTGTCCTTCCATTTGGTACAGACTGCTTTTAACAGTCCAATAGAGGAGAAAGCTGTTTTATGGGAATATATAAACAGCTGGTTTATTCAGCTGGTTTTGCCGTACATGGAAGATGTTTTGTTGTCGGCTGCAATGTGTCTGCATTTTCTCAGTCACATAAAACAGCCGTGTGACTTTGTTTTATTTTTGCTTGGGATGTCCCTGCAGTATTGCCAAAGAAAACTTTAGTTTTAACCAATTTTAAGGATTCCTCTGAAAACGGTACACAGCAGAATACTTGGACTGAAGGAAGATGAGATTTATGCATCACAAATCTGCAGATGACGATGTACGCATAAAGACGTCTTGTGTGTTTCGTGTTGTCATTTACTGAACAATAGCCTCAGCTAGTCTGTCTGATGTTACATTACTCACAATATCTGTGGAATTGTAGTAAACAGAAAGTGATGGTCAACATTGAGAAGAGGCAGTTTAAAAAATAAATAAAACAACAGACATTTGGACATTACTGATCCTGTCTGAATTATTACTTTACATTACTTTAAACAGTTGCATTTGCAAAAAAAAAAACCCTTAATTTTTTGTTTTTAATTATTGTGTTTCTTGGTCTGCTTCGGGGTCAAAGGTGTACTGTTGTACCTCTGTTTGTAGCCATTTTTATGTGTCTGAGGTTTAAACGTAAACACTGAGTTTGGAGGGCAGCAGCTTATTTGCATTATTGTGACATAGCGATAAAAAAGCCGCTTCTTGTTTTAAAAAGGTAGGAAAAGAGTTATAATTAGATTATAATTAGATTATATAACCAAGACATGTTCTGTATAATCCAGAGACTAACTGTGAAACTGCAACATCTTATGGGATGTTTGAGAGAGAAACAGAGGGAACTTTTAAGATAGTAATCTATCAGAAGAATAAATTTTTATGCACATTGCTTAGCATTTGAAGATGATGTGAGTGAAGGGTTTCAGAGTTATTTTGAAGTAAGAATTTTTTGGAACTTTTTGTAGAGAAAATTTAAACAGCAAACTTGATAAACTTACCATTAACCATGGGTATCACATTCACTTCGAGGACCATTCGCAGTACACTGTCAAGGATGTCGACCTGTAATCCAAAGGCAGAATTTCAGTTTGAGTTTGACTCAAGGGCCCTTACAGGGACTCATCAGGAAATAGAGATCTTACCTGAAACTGTCCCACATAGCTGGTTTCTACAGACAGTTTCAACCTACATAAGCAGAACAAAGTTAGAACTGATTGAACATCCCTTCAGAGAGCTTAAAGGAGCATTTCCTGGCATCTTTGAGCAACTCACTGGTTGAGAGTGAGGCGTCCACTGATGTTCAGTCCTCTGATGTACACGTCAGCGCTCACGCTGCTCTCCTACCGAGAAAACGACAGAAATGTTTACGTTTCTTTTTCCTTCCAGTCAATGATTTTCCATCTTGTAGTGTGACGTACTAAGTTCAGGACAAACAGAGGGGAAAGTGTGCCGTTGGGTTGGATGGCGTACGCCGTCACTGTGGCAATGGCCACAGCAGTTGCATTTTTGGGCTGGAAAGTGATGGTGGGACTCTTCTTAGCCCTAACCAACAGCTTCATCATCAGGCCTGGATACTGCTTTGCAATCTGACAAAACAGAAGCAGATCCACGATTCACTGCATGCCATTGATGATTGCATTCCTCAATAAATCCTTGAAATGTTCCTCACCTGCGGGATGAAGACTCCGAATGTTTTGGTGTTGAGTTGGAACGGAGAGCCTTTGGGGACCTGTTGGGACGGAGCAAAGAATGTTGTGACACAAGTGGTATTTTGTGGAGTCGGAGGCCATAGTAGAGTGAAGAGCGGCGCACCATGTCATTTGTGATGTACAGGCTGAGGATTCCAGCTTTGTTGTAGACGAAACCTGCAGAGTTGGCGGTGAAGGCGGACAGGGCCATGTACAACATGTTGTTCTGGAACGGCAAGGAAAAGGCTGCGGGGCTGAACGGAGACTCCTGGTGCTTCCCAATGTTGTAGAACTCACCCTATAAATAGAAATAAAAAATAAGTGATCTTAGACTTAAAAAAAAAAGTGTATAATTAAGGCTCTAAAAATTCACAATTCTTTGCCTTCAAGTTCAGATCAATAGACGATTGTGAAATAACCGGAGATGACACCATGGAATATTCAATCTCTGCGTATTTGTCCACCTTGGCCAGCACTGCGACAAGACAAAGATGTTCACTGACATTCTGGAACAAACATACATCTTCATTAACAGCAAAAGGAGAAGCTTTACCGTTGAGTGTTTGCAGCTTAGGGTTTAAACAGGTTACTGCCTTGTCCAGCAGAGGACAGATCTGCAACAGGAAAGAAGAGGAAAATGATTCTCAATTCTTTCTGAAAAAAAAAAAAACAGTTTGGAAATCAATAAGTTGCTGAGATTGGTTGGTTTATGATTTAATGGTTTGACTATTATTAATGTAAGGTACAATAATAAAATAAAATGTAATAAATTGAACTTCATTTAAAAGTTGAAATTTTGATTTAAAAATTTTTTTGTAACTAAATCTTTCACACATTTCTGTAGTGAAAATGTTTTGTGGAAAACCTTTCAGCTGCTTTGCTTTTCGTATTCAAGTTTCCTAATTGTTGACCTGGGAGTTCCCCGCCTCCCTGAACTGTTCGATTCCAACTGAACCGTTCAGTTTTTATTAGAAGAAAAACCTTGGAATCGGTACAGAAAGCCGACTGATGTGGAAGCAAATGTGATGGTAATGGGAGTGAAAGGAGGATCTGCCTCAAAACTCAGTTAAAGATGAAAAGGGATATTTACTGGTGAATGAGTCAAATAAAATGGATCACTGATTAAATGTAACCTGATCAAAGTTGGTTGTTAAAGTTTTATTTTAACTCGACATCTAAATCTCGCCACACTGCAATGCATCTGAATAGGATTTATGTGATAGAACAAAAGTCGCGCATAAATGTGAAGTTGTAGAAAAACATTGAGTGCGTAAACTTTCTTTTTTTAAATTAAATCAATCTCTGAATCCAACTCAAAACTTTGCGATCCTTTGTGTTGCTCTGTGACTCAAGCTCCTGTCTGAACTTTGACCGTTGGGTTTGTGTTTAAGGGGAATGAATTTTCCTCTATGAATTCAGAAAGTTGGTAGATTTGAGCGTCTTGGCTGCTTCGGCCTCACCTGTTTCTGCAGACCGTTTTGAACAGCCCTGTTTATGAACATGCTGAAGAAAATGTAGAACCAGCTGAAACAGACAACCACAGCACAGGTTAAGAGTTTTGCAGCTGAGTTTGCAGTAATGTTCCCTCATGGTTTTCTTCTTTACCAGCTTCCACCATGTAACTTGACTTTGGCACTGGCCACATTGGCTACGCAGTTGGTACTGCTGACCACCGGCCGACCCGTCTCGTCACTTTCCACGACGATACTGGAGCTGATTGTGAGTCCGTTGATGTTCACGTCAAAAGAGCCGCTGTTCTTTCTGTCGAGGAGAGATCCACAGAGGGGTCAGCGCTGAGGAAGGGGCTTCATTTCATGTCTGAGAGGGTCTTTACTCACATCACTCTGAGGTACTGGAGCCTCCAGTTTCCATGCAGATTCATGAAGGCGTCTCCGATGGTCAGCCTGACCCCGGTCCCTGGCACCAGAGTCACTGCAGACCTCGGCAACCCCACGTTCACCAACCGTATGCTGCAACAGATGGTTTCAGGACAGTTGGTCTCGGCTTTTCACAAAATGCAGAGTGGTTGGTGAAGAACGCCTTACTTTGTCAGACTGTACTTGACGTTGCCAATGAGAAACACCGTTAGTGAGCCTGAAAAATCTGGAATTTGGATAGATTTAAGTTTGTCCAGCATGGCGGCGATGCCCAGTTGTTTCCCTGGAAACAGAAGAAAAGCAGAATTGATGGTTGTGATAAAGCAACAAGGGAGAGGTCTTAACAGATTAGGAAGCTTACCGTATTGGAGGCCTTTATCAGTCAGCCTGACCGTCACGCCCGGGTTGACGCTCAGGGTGGTGGAGGCAACCGCCAGCAGGACGAGCAACAAGGACAGAGCCGACATGACTTCTGGGAAACACACAGGAAGAGCATTCCTATGTGAGTATAGGTTCATGTTGCCACGTACTGAAAGAAGTGTGTTTTCTTACATATATTCAAATTTACTTATATTTATCGATGCTCTCTTAGAGAAAAAAGTAAAAGCTTTTTTTTAAAACATAAATTGGATTTATAATGTCAAAAGTAAATAAAAAATCTTATCATGACAAGACAATTTTCACAAAAAATGAGAGACAATAAGTCCTTTCCCCCTTTTTGTGAAGGATATTCATGAAATAAATCCAGCCTGCCTTGCTCAGAGGAGTGAGAGAGACATTAGGGGTAGGTTGTCATCAAATCTCATTTTGACAGGTGCCACGCCCCTTTGACCTCTATTTAACCCCCCCCCCCCCCACACACCCCCCCACACACCCCCACACACACACCCACACACACACACACCCCCACACACACCCCCACACACACACGCACACACACACGCACACGCACACACACCCCCCGCACACACACACACACACACACACACACACACACACACACACACACACACAGGCACGCACGCACGCACGCACGCATGCACGGACACACACACACACACACACACCTTCCCCCTCCCTCCCTTCCAGATGTCAGGATGTACCCCTCCTTAAATGAACATTCTTAGACATCTATTATTCTTTGTTTTCTTGAAAGCTCCTATTGATTTTTTCTTTTTTAAGAGTAATACAGCACCCCAACAACAGTTATTTAATCAAGAAAAATGTATATAATTATATACTATGCCTACTGAAGTTTAATAGATTTGGAATGGAGATGTTACTTCTGATTCTGTGCCTGGCCTACGACTGGGGTCTGAGCTGGGGGGCTTGATGAAATAGGTACGGCCTGTGAAATCCCTTCGGGGGGTCGTTCTCAGTAGATCTCAGTGACATATGGTCTGTGTGTTAGGTTTTTCTGTTTTCTCTCTGCTGAATTCAGAAAATGCCGTATATCTGACTTTCTTTTTAAGAGTAATACAGCACCCCAACAACAGTTATTTAACCAAGTAAATGTATTTAACCAAGTAAAATGTATTTAACCAAGTAAAAATGTATATAATTATGTAGTAAAACCTAGTGAAGTTGAAATAGATGCCGGAGATGTTGCTTCTGATTCTGTGTCTGTGTTCAGCCAGGCCTACAACTGGAGGTCTGAGCTGCAACACGTAGGGCCTGCGAGAGAAGGAATGTACTAGTTGCATACTTTGCAAACTTTGCAGGATGCAGACAGAATGACAAATTAGCCACCTCGAGGGAATTCAGAGCAAGACCCTCATGAACCCTGCTGGTTCATGAGGGCAGACCAGAGCCACATCTGTTTGTTTTTTTTTTTTTTTCTCAGTTTATTGCTCTTTGTCTAAAGAGTAATTACCTTCAGTTATCTGTGAGCGACACACGCTTCAGAGAGAATCAGAACTGCAGCATCAGTGAGAAGTCCGTCTTACTTTCGGTATAACATAATTCGAAAACTATTGGAAACGCCGGTTTAAACACATTTGAAACTCATAGATTTTTCTGTAACACTCACTAGTGTGATACATTTCAGTAAATGTTTCTCATTTGTACATGTACTTCTTAAGAATATGTGACTGTTTGTAAGCAGGCCAACGGGAGGTTATTCAAATTAGACTTTTAACTTTCCTTGGTTAAAGAATTTGTCCAGAATTTTCCAAAATTTATCCTCGCATCATTGTAAATGCTACTTTCGTTCAATTTTTTTTCCTGCTGCTGAATCAACACTGATCTTCCCAGAGCTTCATGCTTTCTCCAAAATAGTAAACGCCGGTATAAAACATTTGAAACTCATACATTTTTCTCTGTAACACTCGCTAGTGTGAAACATGTCAGTAAAAGTTTCTCATTTGTAAATTTATTTCTTAAGAATATGTGACACTTATTAAACAGACCTTACTGAGACTACTCATATTTAAGTTTTAGCTTTCCCCAGAGTTGAAAGTTTTTTTTTTCTCTCTTTCTTTCTTTATTTTTTCTTAACACTGCGCAACTACGCTCCGACATGGTAAATTATTTTGTTACCTTTATCATTATCCACTACTTTTGTCTCTAACTTATATGCTGTATGTTTCTCGGCCCAAATGATGCTTTTTTTTTCTCCATCCATCATTTTACACACTTGAGTGTGTTCAATAACAAAATATAGTTGTTGAATTTTCCATTACTGAAGCTTATAAATGATCAATGTAAACTTTCAGTCTGTATTCAGATAGTGAATACAATTCATATTATTTAGATTGGATGTTTTAATGCATGCACTTGGATTTTCTATCGATTTATTGAATGATGGTCTGCGTAAATATTTATCAAACTGAATGGCCATTCAGGTTTCATATAATTGTTTTAGTTTGGTTTTTGTTGCACAACTTCAAATATATGCTGGCTATCAACCAACCATTCAATCAGTGATTTTTTTTCTTTTTTTAAAATAACCCCTCTCATCTTCTGACAACTAGCCCCAAGTTATAATAACATTAACTAAGTTTGCTAATGGTGCACTTTACCTAAAAACAAATATTAAAAAAATAAAACATACTCACTACACAGCCCTTCTCCCAGAGTTGGTCACAACATGGTGATTGTTTTTTTTTTTACCGTTAAAATTATCTACAGCTTTTGTTCCTTGCTTCTCATGATGCTATCTGTTCACTAATGTTCACTAATGTTCACTAATGTTCACCTCTTGTAAATGATAAGCTTATTAACGAACAATATGAACCATCAGCATGCGTTAAAGAAGATCATATCAGCCAGATGAAGTAAAAATATCATGATACTCAAAGCAATCAAAAATATATTGATCTGAAAGGTAATTTCTCCTTTTCAGGGAGCTTAGACTGAATTAAAGGAATTATTGAAATATACGACAAAATATTTAATTTGCAGAATTCCGATAATAGAACTTCAACTATGAATTGAAAGATTACATTGTATTTTTAACTGAATATCACTTAATAAATCAACTGTTAATTAGTCATAATACTATGTAAATGACTAATAATATTTGAACAAACAAGAAACTTGACTAGCTCAATGGATTTATCACATTGGAGAATCAACTCTCTCATTTTCTTTAGCCCACTAAATTTAACCTTACCAAAGCTCTACAGTAAAGCAAACGGGTACTTAGTTTGAAGCCTGAATCAGATGCCTTCAGCCTTCTGCTGAACCTGGACTTTGGCCGCTCTCGATGTGAAATAAAACATCAGACTTTTAAAAAAAAAAAAAGCCCAAGTGAACATCACTTAATTATCATCAACTAGTTGTTTATACTCATCTTAAACCATTGGCAGGAATCTTTGGATAAAACACACAAACAATTAAAAAAAAAAAAAGCTTTATCAGTTAATCTATTTAAATTGAGTCCACGCAACAACAAAAATAAAATAAAAAGTGAACTATCTGAAAGTAGTGAGGATGTTGTGTGCTAAATGTTTCACATTTTAACATGCCCAGCAGACACCACACCATTTCTGCTCAAGCAAACCACAAGGTTTTGAACAGGACAACTATGTCCAAAAAAAAAAGGAGACCGTGTATCTTTATTGTATGTAGCAAATATATTGCTGCTGGTGCTGCTGCTGCTGTAGGTAGAAAATAAAAGAAGTTTTTTGCAGAGAATAATATTCTGGATGAGTTTAAGAATATTCTTTGCCAAAAATTACACAGTGTAACTACACTTGTATTTTATATGTTGCAGTAATTGAATCTTTTGAGGAAATTGGTTTGCATAAATTTAAGTAAATCCAACCTATTTTCCTGCTCTACATATTAGCTAGCAATTTGCCAGTTAGCTTCCCAGTCTGAATTTCTGTGCAACGTCTTTATTCAGTCAACTCTTCTATCCTGTACTCCGATTCTATTCCAGAACTCCGATATTCTACATCCATTTTGTGAATGTTTTGCTTGCTTGTTGATCTTCAGCATGCTCTGAAGGCAGTATCTGGTTTCTCTTACTTTAAACCGCCCAACTTGCACCTGATTGGCACTTTAGCCTTTTGATTCCCTCCCTGTGAGGCGGTGCTTCACAAAGCAAATTGATTGTCAATCTGTTTGCTCTCTGCCTGGTGGTTGTTTCAGAAGATGAGGAAACATGGTGACTGAGGTTTACACCCAACTAGCCAGATTATGCTGCTTTTTTTTTTACTAGATAGCGGTCCTAAAACTACATACCTTTAAAAATATGAACAAATATGTTCAATTCCTTAATTATTTGATTCATGGGTGATACAAGTTTGGTCATTTGGAATGCAACTCAAGGACTGTGGTTTCTTAATGTAAGTATTTCTGCTACTGGACAAGAAACAAGGTTAAAAGATGACAGTTGTATTTACTGAGAGCAAGACTATGTCTAGTTATCAGGACAGACTGAGACCTGTAAAAAAAAACTGTTGGATCCATATGACACAATTATGATCTTAATATGACAGAGGAGGGAACCGGTTATCTGCTCCAACAATGTATTAGCCTTCAAGGAAATCATTTTGGATGCAAAGAGCAGAAATATCTCAACATCAGATTATTATTATTGTTTTTACTCTTATATCAGTGATTTAAAACATTTTTTAAATTTTTGATACCATGCGGTGCCATGCAGTACCATGTGGGCGACCGCAAAGTTGTGCGTGAATGTAAAAGTCAATTATTTTTGTCACCCAAAGAAAATTGTAATGTGTTTATTATGAGTAGGATTAACCGAGCTGAAGGGAAAACAAAGAAAAAAGGAGAAATAAATATTCAGCGATACAGAATTGACTCAGCAAATATGAACCTAGGAAATTATTGAAACCTTCAAGAATTTTATGTGGCGTAAGATATTTAAGAAAAATAATCCTGATTCCATACTCATGAATTTCTTTATCTGGTTGTTATCTCTAAAATACGTTTTTATGTTGAACCCCAGACATCTCACCTCTTTCCCACAGTTTTTTACACTTTGTTCCACTACTTATAGTCAATGTTTTAAAAAAAATAAAAAACCCAGTACAGAGTTTTGAAGCGATGGAGGAAATTTACGTCAATATGGAACCTGTTGAACAAAGTGCATCTCATCCCACAGGTAAGAACAAAGTCACAGAGAAATATAGTATGTATTTAATTTAATTACATTTTTGCTAAGGCTCAGGTTTCTGTTCAGGTTTCTGTTCAGGCAGCAGCAGCTCCAAAGAGAGGCTCTGCCTCGGTGTGGCCGTATCTTTGGGAATCCTGAACGTTTTCCTTTTGACCGAACTCATCGCCCTCAGTGTACACAGTGAGTCTTGTTATAGTCATCTTAAAGATGTAAAAATGAGTACATTTTATGTTTCTGTTATAAAAAAAATGTCATTGATTCCTTTCTGAAATCGAACTGATGAATTAGCAAGGGTATAAAAAAGAATAAAGCTTGGTGACTCAAAGTGATGCAGAGAGCTGAAACATTACACGATGTTACATGAGTTTGAAATATTTTCAGCAATGCTTGCATTTGCAGCATTTAGGGTAGAATGTCTCATCTTTTTTTTTTTTCAAACGATTTTCTGTTCAGCGCGACCTCAGTTTAAATTCTACAGCAGATTTTACACCTGATTGGCACTTTTGCCAAAATCATGAAATTATTTTGTAAGTCTTAAGTGAAAATACGATGCAACTTGTTTTTGCAAACACGTTTGTTGATTTTATTTATTTATTACTGTTTCCAGCTCATGACATGACAGCAGATTTTTCTGACATCAGCAACATTCTGACTGAGCAGAACAGCAACAAGTTTCCCTCCGTGAACGCTAACTTCACTGATAACTTCACTGATAACTTCACTGAAACGGATCTTCCACGAGCTGAAAAGACTTTAAGGTTTGTCAAAACTTTAAAAAACTTTTCCCTTTTGAATTGTAGAGTATAACTACGTAATAACTTTCCTTTCTGGTCTAAACAAATATAATATAATATATCTAAATGAAGACTTTTATTAAAATTGATTAAGTACTCTATCATTTGTGTGAACTAAAAACAACAATGTAAAAGAAACAAAACTTTGATTTTTTTTTTCTCCTTACGGGGAGATTTTGGTCCTAAGGAACAGCAGAGATCAGTTGTTGCTATTATTCCAGGGGCTGCAGAAGAAGAGAAGAGCAGATCCAGTACTGATCGACGTTTAGATGTTGTGTTCAGAATGATACTATTAACTAACAACAAATAATGTAGCTTATTACCACGTTGTTGCATAAAAGCCTAAAGATAAAATGTACACTTTCAACCGTTGTTATTTATAAAGCAACAATTTTACCGGTTGGACTCTGTGTTTTTTTTTCTTTCTTTCTTGTTAAAACTCTGACATGATAAACAAACGTTGGACAGAGGATGGTTTTTGTGCGAAGGATCTGTTTGTCATGATAAGTTCTGATTGTGTCTTAATGTGACTTTTACTGCCTGACTTTATGGAACTCCTGTTGTGTCCAGTAACAGCGGCTCAAGCTCTATCTTGGTAAAATTATAGTTCTACATGTCCAATTATTTACTATCATTTGTAATAAAGTGATGCCGACACCATGGAATCAACAGTGAGGAGCTTGTTCTAGTCATCTTAAAGATGGAAAGAGTCAGTCTCCAACCGGCACTCACTGAGAGTGTCTGTAATCAGAACTGTGACGATGATGATGATGATGATAATAATAAAGGAGGAACTGGGTTCCTGTCTAAGAAAGAAATTCAAATAATTCTGAGTATCTGAATGATTAACCGAATGACTTTTTATTCATTTCAGAGTTCAGTCGGTGAGGTTATTCATTTTGTGGTGTTCCTACTCTAAGAAAGAAACAAAGAGCAAAGGTAGCAATAGTACATGTTGGTTCCACATGCTTTCCCTGAAAATATGGATAAAATCGGTCATGATAGGATAACAGTAATTTGAAGAGGAAGAAGCATATAAACAAGTCAAGTCAATGACAAGTCAATGACATGATGCAATCTGCAATTTTTTTTTAAAACTCCGATTACTTAACTTTTATGCTTGTTTGTTTGTTTTTTACTGACTTAAATAATACATTTAAATTGCTGCACTGTTTGATAAGTAGAATGGAAATTACTTTTTGTTTTCTTTTTTTTTGTAAACTGTCTTTAGATTACCTATCGTAAAATTTGCATTTTAAAATCAACTGAATTAAATTAAGAAAGGTTACAATTTGTACAACTGAAGAGAAATGATGAGCAATGTTTTAGGGGTTGATGAAAGCAGAGATTGGTGTTTTTCTCTGTAACATCAAAATTTACACTTTACAAAATTTACTGTGCATTTTCCCATATACCATTGCCTGGTGTCTGAGCTGGCAAAGGTCATCCCTTGCAATATTAAGAAGCTGTTGTCAAAAATTACGATCTTAATTTTTATTTACGAAGCAAAAGATATGTCACACTATCTTGTACAACATAATTTACAGTATACAAAGTCTAAAAAGTCTAAAACAGAAGGATTTTAAGCTAAAAAAAATACAAGATAGTGATGATAATGGTGTGGTGTCTGCTGGGCATGTTAAAATGTGAAACATTTAGCACACAACATCCTCACTACTTTCAGATAGTTCACTTTTTATTTTATTTTTGTTGTTGCGTGGACTCAATTTAAATAGATTAACTGATAAAGCTTTTTTTTTTTTTTAATTGTTTGTGTGTTTTATCCAAAGATTCCTGCCAATGGTTTAAGATGAGTATAAACAACTAGTTGATGATAATTAAGTGATGTTCACTTGGGCTTTTTTTTTTTTTTTAAAGTCTGATGTTTTATTTCACATCGAGAGCGGCCAAAGTCCAGGTTCAGCAGAAGGCTGAAGGCATCTGATTCAGGCTTCAAACTAAGTACCCGTTTGCTTTACTGTAGAGCTTTGGTAAGGTTAAATTTAGTGGGCTAAAGAAAATCAGACAGTTGATTCTCCAATGTGAGAAATCCCTTGAGGTAGTCAAGTTTCTTGTTTGTTCAAATTTTGTTAGTCATTTACATAGTATGATGACTAATTAACAGTTGATTTATTAAGTGATCTTCAGTTAATAAATACAATGTAATCTTTCAATTCATAGTTGAAGTTCTATTATCGGAATTCTGCAAATTAAATATTTTGTCGTATATTTCAATAATTCCTTTAATTCAGTCTAAGCTCCCTGAAAAGGAGAAATTACCTTTCAGATCAATATATTTTTGATTGCTTTGAGTATCATGATATTTTTACTTCATCTGGCTGATATGATCTTCTTTAACGCATGCTGATGGTTCATATTGTTCGTTAATAAGCTTATCATTTACAAGAGGTGAACATTAGTGAACATTAGTGAACATTAGTGAACAGATAGCATCATGAGAAGCAAGGAACAAAAGCTGTAGATAATTTTAACGGTAAAAAAAAAAACAATCACCATGTTGTGACCAACTCTGGGAGAAGGGCTGTGTAGTGAGTATGTTTTATTTTTTTAATATTTGTTTTTAGGTAAAGTGCACCATTAGCAAACTTAGTTAATGTTATTATAACTTGGGGCTAGTTGTCAGAAGATGTGAGAGGGGTTATTTTAAAAAAAAGAAAAAAATCACTGATTGAATGGTTGGTTGATAGCCAGCATATATTTGAAGTTGTGCAACAAAAACCAAACTAAAAAAATTATATGAAACCTGAATGGCCATTCAGTTTGATAAATATTTACGCAGACCATCATTCAATAAATCGATAGAAATCCAAGTGCATGCATTAAAACATCCAATCTAAATAATATGAATTGTATTCACTATCTGAATACAGACTGAAAGTTTACATTGATCATTTATAAGCTTCAGTAATGGAAAATTCAACAACTATATTTTGTATTGAACACACTCAAGTGTGTAAAATGATGGATGGAGAAAAAAAAGCATCATTTGGGCCGAGAAACATACAGCATATAAGTTAGAGACAAAAGTAGTGGATAATGATAAAGGTAACAAAATAATTTACCATGTCGGAGCGTAGTTGCGCAGTGTTAAGAAAAATAAAGAAAGAAAGAGAGAAAAAAAACTTTAAACTCTGGGGAAAGCTAAAACTTAAATATGAGTAGTCTCAGTAAGGTCTGTTTAATAAGTGTCACATATTCTTAAGAAATAAATTTACAAATGAGAAACTTTTACTGACATGTTTCACACTAGCGAGTGTTACAGAGAAAAATGTATGAGTTTCAAATGTGTTTATACCGGCGTTTACTATTTTGGAGAAAGCATGAAGCTCTGGGAAGATCAGTGTTGATTCAGCAGCAGGAAAAAAAATTGAACGAAAGTAGCATTTACAATGATGCGAGGATAAATTTTGGAAAATTCTGGACAAATTCTTTAACCAAGGAAAGTTAAAAGTCTAATTTGAATAACCTCCCGTTGGCCTGCTTACAAACAGTCACATATTCTTAAGAAGTACATGTACAAATGAGAAACATTTACTGAAATGTATCACACTAGTGAGTGTTACAGAAAAATCTATGAGTTTCAAATGTGTTTAAACCGGCGTTTCCAATAGTTTTCGAATTATGTTATACCGAAAGTAAGACGGACTTCTCACTGATGCTGCAGTTCTGATTCTCTCTGAAGCGTGTGTCGCTCACAGATAACTGAAGGTAATTACTCTTTAGACAAAGAGCAATAAACTGAGAAAAAAAAAAAAAACAAACAGATGTGGCTCTGGTCTGCCCTCATGAACCAGCAGGGTTCATGAGGGTCTTGCTCTGAATTCCCCTCGAGGTGGCTAATTTGTCATTCTGTCTGCATCCTGCAAAGTTTGCAAAGTATGCAACTAGTACATTCCTTCTCTCGCAGGCCCTACGTGTTGCAGCTCAGACCTCCAGTTGTAGGCCTGGCTGAACACAGACACAGAATCAGAAGCAACATCTCCGGCATCTATTTCAACTTCACTAGGTTTTACTACATAATTATATACATTTTTACTTGGTTAAATACATTTTACTTGGTTAAATACATTTTACTTGGTTAAATAACTGTTGTTGGGGTGCTGTATTACTCTTAAAAAGAAAGTCAGATATACGGCATTTTCTGAATTCAGCAGAGAGAAAACAGAAAAACCTAACACACAGACCATATGTCACTGAGATCTACTGAGAACGACCCCCCGAAGGGATTTCACAGGCCGTACCTATATTTGATCAAGCCCCCCAGCTCAGACCCCAGTCGTAGGCCAGGCACAGAATCAGAAGTAACATCTCCATTCCAAATCTATTTAAACTTCAGTAGGCATAGTATATAATTATATACATTTTTCTTGATTAAATAACTGTTGTTGGGGTGCTGTATTACTCTTAAAAAAGAAAAAATCAATAGGAGCTTTCAAGAAAACAAAGAATAATAGATGTCTAAGAAATGTTCATTTAAGGAGGGGTACATCCTGACATCTGGAAGGGAGGGAGGGGGAAGGTGTGTGTGTGTGTGTGTGTGTCCGTGCGTGCGTGCCTGTGTGTGTGTGTGTGTGTGTGTGTGTGTGTGTGTGTGTGTGTGTGTGTGTGTGTGCGGGGGGTGTGTGTGCGTGTGTGCGTGTGTGTGTGCGTGTGTGTGTGGGGGTGTGTGTGGGGGTGTGTGTGTGTGTGCGTGTGTGTGTGGGGGTGTGTGGGGTGTGTGTGGGGGGGAGGGGGGGGTTCAATAGAGGTCAAAGGGGCATGGCACCTGTCAAAATGAGATTTGATGACAACCTACCCCTAATGTCTCTCTGGAGTGGATGCAACAGAATCACTTAGTTTCACAGACAAACAGTTGCAGTAAATTCAGAACTGAAAAAATGCATTTTATAATTTACAAACATCATAAACTCCAAGTAAATAAAACTGCAGTGTTCTCAATATGTTTGGGATTCTTGTATTTGAAAGAAATGCCTGTTTTCCACTGGACAGAACCACATGACTGTCGTTAAGTTATTCAATTATCCTGCGAGTCCTGCTTGCTTCCCTTCAAATGAAGGATGTTTGAATCAGAGCAGAAAATGTTTCTGACTGGATGTTTTAGAACAGAGTGTCGAGTCACAGACAGAAGCTGGTGGAAGTGACCCGGTTCCACCAGAGACCTCAGACCCAACGGTCAGTTAAAGTCCTCCTGCTTCAGCTCGCCCAGAACCAAACAACTGGGTCAATACCAGCTATGATCAGGAAGTTTTTTTTTTTTTCACAGTTAAATTCTAGTTGACCTAAAACATCTAATTGTAAACACTTGTCATATGAATTGGTTTTAGTATGTTAGTTTAAACTATGTTAGTATGTTAGTTTAAACTAACATACTGCTGTCCTTGCTGCTGACATGTTGAATGTGTTTTTTATTAAGAGGCTGTATGGATTTATCTATTTCTGCTACTGAAACTATGAAGTAAGTATTTAGATTTATTTCAATACATTATCCTAAAAAAAGTTGTAATTTTCTCTAACATTTGTTTCAGAAAATTGTCATGGCTGCACACATTTGGAAAATGATTTTCTCGTATTAGTGGCAAACTCTAATTATATCTACATTTCCTCCTGAGATGCAAAATATAGGTTGGGGGATATGTAGGTTGGGGGATAGGAGGATGTTTTTCGATGCAACACCAGGAAGTAAAGGAATCTAGCAGTGATGAAGGAATGGGACTTGGCTTTGGGGGAAAGCATCCTAAAATTTCTCTTTTTAAATAACTGAAAATATGGTTTGTTTAATTTTTTTTTGCAGCATAATTTTGTTCTGTAGTTATAATTTTCTGACTCAACCTAGGTACATTTATGTATTTATTTACTGTTTCTTGTAGGCAGTCATGTTATCTGCATGTTCACTATTATTCAGCGATGTTTTGTTATACTTAGTTGTTTTTTTTAAGTTGAACTCATTTTGTAATTTTTATGATTATTTGCTGTTAGATAAATTTTGTCAGCTATATTTAGAAAATTAAACAAAGGTATATTTAGTTTATATTTATTTTATACATATTTATCTTTCTGTCTTATTGCTTGGTCCTGGGAATGGGATGAGAAAAGCTTTCTGATTCTTTAAGCTGAATTATAATGAACCATATCCTTCCTGTTTCTAGCATAGAGAAAATAAAGTGTCATAAAGTTAATGTAAAGTTGAATCTTGTCATAATCTAAACATACTTTACCAAAATTGCTTAAAAAACATCACTTTGTGAAAATTTTCTTTGAAAATTGCTCAAGTTTCTGAACTACACTGTCATCCAAATAAAAGCAAACGAGTCTTACCTGGAGCAGTGGGTCAGCGGTAGTAAATGATTCTTCCTTCCCCGACACTCTGACTGTTTACAAGCCTGAGTGAGTGAGGAAGAGCAACGCATGGCCTCTAATATACTCCCAGATTCAGGAAGTTGAACCTGCGGAGGGACCCACCCACCGGCCTGAAGCAACCACGGGTTTTCTTTTTGAAAATTTTTACTGATTGCTTTTAGGCAAGTTTTTACTGATTGCTGCTTAGGCAAGTCTGAAATCTGGGCACGTGTAACCTTTAGATGTTTACATATTTCCCTCTTTGCTTATAAAAATTCTGCTGCCACATTCATAATGCATCCATCATCACCATCATCACTGAGACTTTTATTTTCTCTTCTGTGTCAGCTGTTGCCAGAGCAAATGTGCTTTGGACTTTCTTTTAATGCTCATGTTGTAGCAGATTTTGAAGAATGAGCTAAAAAAATCTCAACAAAATTATAAGATTGAAATTTCAGGAGGTCTAAGGTCAAGTTTGAGGATGTTATATTTCAAACTGGACATTGTAAGGAAGTAATAGACTTTTTGTTGCACCTGTTTTTCTTCCAGCTTTGTTAATCAAGCACATCACAGCCCTATGATAAACCTGTTATCTTTTTTTTTTTGTCTATATATAGATTTATTTTGCTGCTTTATAATGCTTTCATTTTCATGTTCAGCGGCTGGAAAGCAACAAATAAAAAAAACTCTATTGCACAAGTGCAAGTGTTTCCAGTAACAGCAGCCAAGCAGAGATTTACAGCTTCCTGAGTTGGTCGTGACCTGCAGGATCGGCACACGTTTCGCTGGGAGCTGAGGAGTCCTGCATGAAGTCAGAAAGCGCTGAGGTACAGGCCGTGACTCAGACAACGCCTCATCCAGTTTTTGTAAATTACTGCAGATAATGAACAAATCAACAAACTGAAGAAATCCTGGATTTCTTCATCTGTGGTACAACACATTGTGAAAAGACAGAATGTCTGCACAAGCAGCGAAGGTCAGCAATCACCATTGATTTTAATCACCACATTAAGAAAACTCACCACACCAGACCTTCCCCAAATGATTTAGAAAACAAATACATGTGAGCTGCTAACACAGAGCCAAGAGAGAAGGACATCTTAGAGTTGGACATTTCTCGTCTGACCTGAATTCATTGAAAGGTTTCTTTCTTTTTCCAGTTATGAATATTTCTCCTGGTAAATGATTGGCTGGGGATCAAATGTTGGGGCTCCTTTATGTCCCTGCACAGACCAATGGGCTCCAACAGTTGCTACTCTGCAGGCCTCAGATTTGCAGCACTTCTTCCAGTTAAAACCTCATTCATGATTTTCCCACCAATAAGCTTCCAGTACTAAACCAAAGCTGCCGGTTCTTTGGCTCTTTCAGTAAACATTAGATTCTGATTCTTAATTTCGCCATTGGAAGAACTTTTAACTATTTCATCTTCAACCTTTTTTATCACATCTTTTTTTGTTGAGAACATAGTTCTCATTTATCAGATCTTAACAGTTTTTGCTCATTAGTTCCAGGTAAACCTTCTGCTTCCTTAAGTTTAGGGCTTCTGGGACTGATTTATAAGAAAAGCAATCCCATCAGCCACCTGGGTTTAGAGAAATCCCTCCTGGCGTCAGTAGAGATTTGCTGACGTTGGTATTTGTTCCGTTTTAATAAGCCAGATCAGTTCACACATTATGATGAGACTGTTCCACAACAAAGTGTCAACCCAAACTGTCTGTGGCTGAATTACAGATAATGAAAATGTAAATACTGCAGAATGAACATTATTTGTTAAGTTTCCTGAGTGTTTTTTAACATTTGAGAATTGGGCTCTTCCCCTGATTTAGGAAACATTTACAAGCAATTTCTATTTGTTAAATGCCACAATAGTGAAAGATAACATATCAGGAATTTATTTTGAGAATTCCAGTTGTCCTAAGATAAGTTTAGTTAACCTTAGGTGGTGGCATTTCCATTGACTTTGAAATTGTGGAAATTGGAATAATGGAAATAAATTTGCTTCATGGAAACATGGCAATTTCTAAAACAATACAAAATAGTCTGGGCCTCCCTTCTGAAGCTGCTCCCCCTCGACCCAACCCCTGATGAGCGGAAAAAATGGATGAATAGATGGAAAAGAAAATATGTTTTTCAATAAAACTTCTTGTCCTAGGATGAGGAATTTCGCTCAATATAGACAGAAAATTTCGCAGTTGCAAAATTGTGTCTTTTCAACATTAGTGGAATACCAAATTTGGAAACGCAGAGAGTGAGAGAAAGTGGTGAATGTTCCTCTTTAAAATGTAATAAGCTTCTGGTTTTAACTGTATGTGGACACAAAGCACCACATCTATTTTTACTCAAAAGGCTGTTATTTTTCAACACAGAATGCAGAGAATATGTTCTTCGTCCTCTCAAAAGTTCCTAAAAGAAGCGTGTTGTGCTAATCGTGTTTTTGCACGTGTATAGAAAAGCTAGAGGCAAAATAATCAATATTTGTTTGATCAGTCAGTGCAGGTTGGCTAACTCATCCAGACAGCAGACCTGAGATCTCTCTTACAGCCAGGGATGTTTTGGACATCCTGCGTTTTAAAACCCTAATGCGTGGAGGCGTCCAGACAGTCCTGCACTTCAGACAGGGTTCAGCCTCTCCTGCCTCCGGGCCGTTCGCCGCCGGATCAAAAACAGAGAGAACTTTCCCTGTTTCTGCCTCCACCAGAGCACAGAGCTCAGCCTGCAGAGGAAGGCTGGACTTCTGAATACACCAGCTGGTACTGACATTTAAATTGACCACCTTGACTCTTTTAGACATGGACTCTTAGTTTATTATTATGCTGGGGCTCTGACAGAGTTATATTATTATCTAGAGAAAGTGGAAATGATTATGTTAAGTATTTTTGTGTCTTTGTTGCCACTTCTTTAATGTTTCATTTGTTTTTAATGTTGTAAAGTGTCCTGTTAAATAAAGTGCATTATTATTATTTATTATGTACAACTCGTCTATCTATTCTAATATTTTCAGGGACTTTCTATCCTGCAGAGAAACGGCTCATTTCTGCCCTCTGGTGGTTAACGGGGAGTATGGATATGTGGATGGCAGCCATGCATGTTCATACAGCTATGGTTTTTTTTATGATATTGTGTAAAATTGCAACATTTCTTAAAAACTGCACATAATAAAAGCTTAATAGATTTTAATGAATATCTGTAAAATGAATGTTTAAATTTCTGAGATGACTGGCATGAAATATTGCACTTTTACACAAGAATCCAAGTTTATTAGTGTTACCTTTAACAGGCAATCTAGTCGAATTCTTTATTTATTTATTTTTATATTTGTGTGGCTTTTTACAAACCCATTCAACAAGTCAAAAATATAAATTTTTGGAACTTTATCACTAAGTAAAAATCCTGACATGGATTATTTACATTGATGGTTGAAAGCCTGTATTTCTGGTAATTATGATTTTCTACTTTCAAAAAAATTCATGTCTATCAAAATATTAAAACGGCAGCTGTTTTAATGAATGACGAAATCTTCTCTCCGAGAAATGAATGGTGTTTGGACACGGAATAGATCTAAAAAAAATAACGACTAAATTTCAGGTGCTTGGAACTGGACTGTGAGTTCAGCATTCCTAGAACAACATGGAGACAGAGGAACAGAACAGTCATAAATCCAGAGCCTCTGCAGCATCTTGTTTTCTTCTTCTCTGCCTCAATAAGGGAGTCACATGAGGCCACGACTGCTGCCATAGGCTCCCAAAGTGACTCACCACACACCTAACGGATTGTGTTTGTCACATCTGAGCTTTTAGCACAATAGAGAAAAAAACGTTTTGATTACAGACTGACTCACACTCTTTGAAACTACTCTAAGGTACTGCTCCCCTTTTTTAAATTCTCCATGAACTTTTGTATCTTCAAACTGAACCAAGGGCGTCTGAGATTGGAAACGCTCAGGCGGTCAGGTAATGGGATGACACAGATGGCCCGAGCCTCCTGTGGTCATGCTGTGGGCAAATTCACAGTCAGAGCCTGCAGAACAGAAAGCCTGTCACATTAGGCAGCAGACACACAGGCACAACTATAACACATTTATAACATTTATAACTTGTGCTGGAGTTTTTCTAACTGAGAGAAAAGAAAATTTGAGTGTGGTAAATTATAGCATGTACTTTTGACAAGTTTGAATTTTACTCCGCCGTTCAGTTGTGCGACAGACTCTCCTACCCTGAACGTTCTGGAGAACCAGAGAGTTAAGGTCTCAAAGTGCCACAGTGACTTCATTTCAAATTCAAGCGTAATTGCGAAATACAGCTTCTGGGCATCAGTGAAACACACACAGCAGGTTCTAGAACACCTCTCAGATGAAATAATCTAAAACAGAAGTGGATGGCGAGTTTCAGCATGACGGAATCAGGTGTTCTCTGAAGACTCTGTCAGCTCCTGCTGTTAGAGGACGCGCTCTGGTTTCCATTCTGCGTCTCAGCCCTTTCTTCTCGGTGCCAAAGGTTTCTTCTAATTTAAGTTCCATCTTTTCCAGTCTGAATCAATCTTCTGATGATATTCCTATGTTGAGACTCCGCAGATTTGGTTGCAACTTGAAGCTTAAGACTGAACATTGAGTCATTGATTTGAACCCTATGAAGAGCCTTGAACATGTCAAACTCAAGGCCAAATCCTGCACAGCTTTTTATGTGTCAATCTGGACTTCATAGAAACACATGATAGAACCTATTAAGATGGCAGTGATGTGCTTGAATATTACCTTATCAATCAAATCAAAGCAGTTTTTATTGTTTACTGCACTGGAAAAATGTGCAAAAAAACTCACATTTTTGCAAAGAAAGTGTAACAAGTGCACTAAAAATGAGATGTCTGTAGATGTTCAAAGTTTGTACATACCTTAAAAACTCCCAGCTGTAAATGGAGCCCAAGATATTCACTTTTACTTCCAATTTTTTTTCTCACTATTATGCAGCAGTTTGTGCCGGTGTGTCATAATTATACACAAATAAACGTAGTCAACATTTTCAACTGTTGTTGACTGGCTTAGGCGAGTCTCACTAATTG